TAAATTCTTGACTGAACACTTCAAGCACTATTACAATGATTTTTCCTGCAGCAAAGCATAATTCCTTTTGTATAATGTATTATGGATCTATAAAAAAGCAGATATAAATATACACTGCTACAGTTTTATATCGGAAGAATTTTGGAGGAAAGAGAAGCAATGAAAAAGTTATCTTGTCATGTTATACACTGCAAACTAAAAACAAGTTATATTGTGTCTCAAGATAAGATGAGATAAGATAGACTTTATTGATCCGACACTGGGAAAAAATGCTTGTTACAGCAGCTCCAAATACAACACAACAGATACAAATTAAATGGAAAAAAAGGATAGAAAAGTACAATATATAGTAGATATAGAAAATTAAGAATAAGACTTATATATGCACAATATACAGCTGTGATTGAAATTAACATTGCACAGGTTGGTCACCAGATACTAGCCCCCTCTCACTGTTTTTATGACCAGCGATTGCTTTCAATCCTCTAAATAATGTTGAAGGTGCTCCTCCAACTCTTTCCTGTAGCTGACCTTTTGTCTTCCTTATCTCTCATCTAAGCTGTCTCTGAACCCTCCACTGCTCCTCAAAGAAAGCTCAAATACATCATTGCCAACTCCTGTATAACAAACAATCCTCAACAATTTGAGTTTCTAAAATATTAAAGCCATTTATTTTCACCTTCATTCTTCAAATCCTGATAAGTTAGAACAAATTAGTAAAAAAGTTTAAGCTAATTAAACATGATTAAACCGGGAAAGAGTTGCAGTTACATTATAGTGAAGAGGTGGAATCAAGACTATGCCTCCCTTTTCCTTAAACGGACAGATTCATTGGGATTGGCCAACTGGAACAGAAAACATCTCACAACTATACCACAGTTAGGGTTTGGTATCATAGTATTACAGTATACCAATGCTGGGATTATTAGCAAATATTATTATTAATAAAGTTATTATTACAAAAAGTATTAATGATATGGGACACCACACCACACATAGAATCGAGGACTGACAACCAAATGTGAAAACGGTCTCTATATATGTATCTATAAATGCCAATAGAGGGAGGAAGAGTGGGGAAAATGGTGGATGTGACCAACTTGGGTAGCTTGTCACACAATTATCCAAAATGGAGGATGCACTCCATGCTTGTCCTCACCAAGATGGCATGGAGCACAGCTGGAGTTTAGGCAAGCTGTGGGTTCCAGATGTGTATGTGTGTGGATGCGCATAAGGTGTGTACTTGCATGTGCTGGTATGAGAAAAGATAAAATGTACACAAAGCAAAGTATATAAGGTCCTGGTTGCCGCACCTAGATACAATGTTACTAAAACTTTTTCACGCAGTACCCAGCAATGAACTTGCATTCAATGATTGTTAGTAATGAGCATCTGTTCCTAATAAGTTAGGCTCTGCATGCAGTGGCAAGAACTACTGCAGGTAAAATACACAAACCCTAATTACTATGGTAAAACACAGTAACTGCCACTTTATGACACATGAACCAGCAGCAAACTTTCATTCGGCAGTCTTGTTGCTGGACTTCGGTCTTGATAAAGCGCTGTTATTGGCTTACACACAGTTTCAGAAACAAAGCAAGAAAAGGTCCAGCTGCATGGTACCGATTCAGGTTTTTTCGTTAAGGCTTCTGGCCTACATGCAGGCTGCTTCTTTGTTTCCCATAAAGTGAGTCCCCAACACCAGGGCATTTAGAAAACTCGACGGTATGACTTTTAATATTCTTATAATCACTTATAGTCTTACAGTATAGACTTATAATCATTCACCCGCCGCTCTCTCATTTTTGCTCACTCACACTCAATACGCACACAAAAGGTGGTGACCGTGAGTGGTGGGATAACGTTACAGGACTAATTTGGGTTTAGTCCTTAGGATTAAAAGTGAGCCAACCATCTTGGATGAAGTTGTGCACATTATCTCTGTTGTCTCGGCATCCACCGTATCAACAAGTGTCATTGGGTCCTCCAGCAAGAATCTATGGAGGAAGGATGCTTATTGCCTATCTATTCATTATCCTATAGGACATAAGTATTTAAATGCACAACGACTTGAGTAGGCCAACTGCATATCAGACACTGTAATGGGAATTCCATGAGTACCATCTCCAAGCACAGTCATGTAATTAATGTTACTCACTGAGGGCCTCTGGTTTATCGGGTACTGGGTAAATGTATGTGATGTGTCCAGGGGGTCATGTCTTTCATTGTTTTACAACATGTAGCTGGCTGTACTAGGGCATGAATGTCTTTACGATAGATTTAGATTGAGTGTCCTCCATAGGACATCTTAAAGACAACATGTTCCAGTGGTAAGATAGAGCTGACGCTGAGATTGGGAGCAGCATTGTAGGCTAGGCAATGTCATACTTGTTACAGTGACGTGTATCAGCAGCAGCTCATATACTGTCATATACTGTATATACGGTGAAATGTATCGTCCAAGCCTAACTAAAACGTGAGTTGACTACTAGATAGGGCTGGGCGACACGGCCAAAAATGTTGTCACGATAAAAACATTTCAAATCGTTTCGAGAGCGATACTTATCACTATATATGTAAAATCATTATTTCTTTCAAGTTTTAAGGCAGATTTTTGCTCCTGAGTGAAAATTGAAGAAACCAGATGGTTAATTATGTGGTTAAACTTTTCTTTATGGTCAGAATGGGACAAACAGTTGATGCCAAACAGTGGATCGCTTCACAAATCTGAGGTAGAACATTCAAAACAATTTTTTTTCACTACAAATATGATTAGTTAATCTTATTTCAGGCCTCTTTTTTTCAACAAAATAAATATTTTAATAGAAAAATTAAGTGCCAATTTGTTTGTGATTCAAATCAATTAAAGCAATTATTCATTGACAATATATTGAAATTTATTATATTGATAGAGCAAAATTATTTTCAATAATAATCATTATTATTTTATTGCCCAGCCCTACTACTAGAGATGAGGTTGTTGATTGAGATTGCTTTGTATACTCTTAAGTAGTAATCGTCACTATGTTCAGATCCTAAAAATCATCTTACTTTGCAACCCACTTTGTAGTTGGTGTTGATGGGTTGTGGCATTTTCTCTGAACTCCAGTTCAAAAAGCCTTTTCAGCTGCATTGTAAAGGTGGCTATTCAACAGGGTGGAGTTTTATGGCTGACAGTGCAGTCCTAACATTTTTTCTGTTACACAGAATCCTGTTTACAATTGTCAGATGTGATTTCAAGATGTGAAAAAACTGAGCTGCAATCAGTTGGTGAGAGTAAAACTCATTTGTACAGTTGCATATACAATATTCATGCATAGACCTGATGCTTTTGGGCTGACGGTGGAGCTTTTCATAATCTGTCTAATCACATTTTATTACATTTAGAAATTCAGTAAAACTGACCAGAGCTAGATTTCCTTGATCCAAATATACAATTGCTGTAGAATCACCAGGACAAACCACACATAAATATTTTACTTTGTGCTATGTAGGTACATATCCATATTTTATTTTACTAAAAACAATAGATATAGAAGCACATAAAAACACATATTCAACATATTCTACATTTGAACATTAAAGAACGAGAAAAACACTAGACATATTTTGCATATATGTAAATATATTACGGATAACTGAACCATGGAACGCTTCAACCGTCAAGTATTTCAGTAGTATGGAATGCTTTGGTGCATAGTTAAATTTTTGGTTTGAACCCCCCCCAAAAGAAAGCAAAACACAAATAATGTACACTGCTAAAGACTATAATAGTTATAACTGTTTAATTATATACAGTAGTGTCATGTCACTACTTTTATGAAAGAATGCAATTAATGTGAACGTAATCTTTGTAACTATTTTTATAAATGCTTTATAAATAATGTTACTAGGTAGCTGAAGGCACAATTTTTGGTTACTTAAAGATAAACTACAATCACAAGTGTAGACAACATGTCAGTATCCAGGTATCATTCTCCCTTTCAGGTTAAAAGTTAAACTCAATTTAATGCCAGACTGTTCTTAGTCCACAGTAGAGGGACATCATGTTGTTAAAAGGTGCCCTGGGGAGTTTTCTTGGAAACAAGAGTTTACACTCAGTATTAACAAAATGCATTATGTACACTGATAAATTTGTTGATTTCATTTCCTTCCTCAAAACAATTTGCAAAACCATTTTTTTTTTTATATTTTGAAACATGCATTTAGTCTTCTTCCCTTCTTTTTGCTGGTGTATTGCTGCATCTTTTTGGTACAGAACTGCCACTTGCAGATCAGTGGAAAAGTGTGAAGCCATTGTCAAGGATATGTATTGCGTCACTCACGCACATGTGTCCATGTGTGACAAACAAATCAGGGACGCACTCAAACGATAATGCTCCACAGTGCTACTAGAGGTCATACACTCCACAGGGAACATTGAACTAACAACACAAGCACATCTTCATGTAGTCAACCATGAGCATTCAGGTATTACAAAAATAGAAAAATGGACCTCAATAATTTAAAAAAAATAAAAATAAACTGGCTTGTAGTTTGATGAGCCATTTCTCACACACAAAGAAATGAGCTTGAGATTTGACTGGCACAGTTCAACATTCATATATTCAGCCATATGTCAAAGGACCTGAGATGAAAATAATCACAGTATATACACATTTGTCCAGTAGGTATAGGCACTGTATAGGCAGACAATGCTCAAAAAAGGTACTGCGGTTTGGATACATGGATGATGCAAAAATCGAAGGTAAACAAAAATTCTATTGGTGTATGTCTGCTTGAGCATTATTGCCTACCTCCCATAACCATTCTTTCTTTATATATAAATGATCAGTGTTCATTTTACGGCTTTATGACTTTGTAAACATGAGCAGGTCTTTCCCACAGAAAAAAGTACTTTTCCCTTGATTATTGGTATTAGAGAAAACTCCATTTAGGCAACAGTATGGTTATTTCTCACAAAATAAAAAAAGCTTATGGACAAGGGCTGATTGACAGAATTTATAAAATATTAAAAAAAAAAAATTTTCCTCTATGGTCCTTGCTGAGATAAAAGTTTACAGCCACTCTGCATGTGGCTTTAATAATGGAATAAAACAGTGATGCGTGATTAATAATGTACTATGTTGTACAGTAGATTGAACTGTACTACCATTGTACTTCTACATTATATGCAACTTTTCAGTTTCAGGGTCACAATTTTAAATCCAGTTGGGATGTGATCCTAAATGACCCTGTCTATGCTGCATTGGTGGGCCACTGAGCACATTTGGGTGTGTATGCGCAATAGAGAGAGAGAAATTGTTTCTCAAAGCGAAGTATAAATTATGGAGTGTCACTTTTACCATGTACTTCTGCTCCAGTTCTATAAGGAAGACCTTTTTAGCATTTAACATTCTGAGACAGTATTAAATAAAGATTTGTCTGCAGCAGTTATGAAGGATAACTGCACTCAGGAACAACTTCAATAAATCCCTGTAGCATTACAAGGCACATATGCAAGAATGGATTATTCTTTTGTAGTAAGTGAGATGTATGTGGCAGGTAGATTATCTTTTTAGCATTTGCTGTCATAATCTCCGTTCAGGAGCTGAGAGGCTTTGGACATAGCGGACAGCATCTGCAATGGTGAAGAACGTCATTTTATTCTCTCCCCCATCACATCCTTTTTTGTCGGGGCAGTATCCCCCTCTTTCCAGATCATCCAGCACTGTAGCATTACACTGGGCCAGGACAACCTTGATCCCAAGTTCTCCAAAATCTTTGCTGACCTCTTTCAGAGCATTCACTCCAGCAGTATCTAGAAACAAGATGGCGCTGCAGTCGATCACCAAGCTGCGTAAAGAATATTTCTTGTTGAGCATCAAAGTTATAGTCGCACCGGAGTCAACCTCATCATCTTTACCTGCATGCTCCTTCTCCTCCGACTTCATATTTGGGACCTCTCCCTGAAGTTTATTCTTCTTCTTGAACTTTATACGGCGGGTTTTCTCCTTGACAGGATCAAACCCTGCACACCTGTATAGAGATTTCTTGAACAAGCTCTGGTTGGCGTAGTAAATTGGAGCCTGGTATCTAAAAACAGTCACTCCGGAATGTGTTTGAAGGCCGTGGTATGACGACAGGTCCTCGTAATGCTCCCTGCTTGTAGCCCGACCAAGCTCCAAGACCTGTGCTTGCTGGGTTCGGCCAAGGACGCAGAAGGCCGACACCAAAACCCCCACAAGGAGACCCAGCTCTGTGTTGACCAGCGCCGTAGTTGCCATAGTGATAACCCAGATAGAGGCATCGACATGGTTGACACGCCACATGCGGGGAATGTCGGTGAATTTTTGTAAAGCTCCGCGGAGGTTTACCACAATGATGACCGCTAACACACATCTGGGGAGGAGAAGGAAGCAAGAACACAAGCATGAAAGGGCAAAGATTAGGATCATCACTTCGTGGTATCGTGAAAGCTGATTTCAATGTGTTTAAGAAACACAAGATTACACGCCCTCATTTTACATTTTCAGTATGAAAACTTAAACTGACTCGCATCATTTAACATTTGTTTTAAGCTTAAGGGTTTTTAAGTTGAATGGCAAAAATATTCTATTGGCAAACAGTTTTTCATCTTAGAAGCACAGAGATGGAGGTACCAAAAGGATGAGATGTTGAGTGTGACAGACAAAATAAGCTCAAGATGCTACACAAATAATTGTGGGTGTGACAATACACTTGGCTGACATGTGCAATTCACAATATTGGGTTTATGAGAACAAGACAATATTTGAACACTATTTTTATGAAATATTCATTGCTGATATATATGAATAGGGGGACGGGGGGCTTTCCCGTAGAACATTTTGAGCAATAAAGACAATTTCCTGCATGCTGGAGATATTTTCTGCACCAATTTATGGAAGAATGACAATGCAAATTTGTTTCTTCTATTTTTACATTGCATGTTTTCTCATTTTGCAAATAAACCTTCTCAGAGCATTTATTTGGTTTTTTAAACATTTCTTGCTGAAAGCTATTTTTCAGAACATATTTAACAAATGCTAGATAAAGTAACGTAATGTATTATAATATGCCAATGTAAATGGCAATTGTTTAAGTGATTATTCATCCTGTTCTGGTTTTGCATCTAAAAGCTGCTTGAAATATAGTATTATGTAGTATAGGCTTGAAAGCAGCGGGGATAAGGAGTTGAGGTCCGGTTTGTTTTTTCCTCGTCCTAGTGATCGGCACATCTGGGTGATGCAAGTTCCTGGTCTTATAACGGTCTCTCCGCTGCTGTTGTAACTTACCTCTCTAGTTGGCAATGAACTCACATTTCAGGTCCTTTTTATATTGAATATATTTAAACAATGCATCGACCTCCGCACAAAAACTTGAACGCCATGTGTTCACTTAGAACCAAAATGCGACCGCTCTACCCCCCTGAGCCACAGCTACCTGTGTTGTGTGAAAATACCACTATCAAGAAGCGGATTATAGTCTACTGATAAAAGCATGGCATTCTGGCAATTAGAATGAACTAATTAGGAAATCAACTCAAAAGGAGGAATAATATTAAGACCCTTAAATCGATAACTAATTAAGATTTTGGTATGCTTACTTCTGAAGGGAATAGAAGAGCGGCGCTATCACCAGCAACACCAGCAGCAGGACGAGGGCGCTGACCAGCCCTGACATCTGAGTCTGGCACCCTGTTGACTCCTTGACAAGAGTCTTAGTCAGTGCAGCGCTGGTGGTGAAGCAGCGGAAGAACGATGGCAGGATGTTGCAGAAGCCGATGGCGTACATCTCCTGGTTGGCGTCCACCGCGTAGCCGTGCTTCTTGGCAAACATCTCTGACAGCGAAACAGTGATGACAAATCCCACAATGGCAATGGAGAAAGCGTCAACAGCCACACTGGGGATCAGACTCCACATGGGCAGCTGGGGAGGGAGGAAGCCTGTGGGGATGTCACCAGCCACACTCGACCCATAATCACTGTTGAAGTGGCCGAAGTGAGAAGCCAGTGTTGCAATTATCACCACAAAGAGCTCAAAGGGAATTGGAGCCTGGGTAAGGAAAAAAAGACAACACACAATTGTTTTTAAAAGTGTATAGTCATTTCATCACACCAACATCCTTACCACTAGCAGGGTAACAAAAAAATAAGTTAAGTTTGGTCTGAGGGTAGCATGGAATGACAATATTAAATAAGTCAAAATAGTTTATCCTGTGTATGGTAGCCTTTTGAGGACACTTTGGGTTCAGACTTAAAAGTAAAAGCTAAGCTGAACTTTGTCAAGCTCAACATCCCACCGCTTTGTCCCAACTGTGCTTTGACCATTACATCCAGCCCTATATTTTTATTCTGAGATTCCACTAGAGTTGCTTCGCATAATTTAGTTTAAAAAAAATCCTTATTTATCTTATACTCTCCCTTTAAGAAATTTGTTTATCTGACCACAAATGAGAAGAGAATTAGGATGGAGAAATGGTGGATGCCGGCGGAGAGGAAAGTTTCTGGGGTCCGGTATAGGTACCAGATATGCTTGATCTGTCAGAGCTACTCAGGGCCTTACTGATTACTGTACAGAAACTTTTGAAACTTCCGCTTAGTTAGCGGTGCAGCTAGTGGCCCTATTAGCTTAGCTGTCTCTGCTCGGACTGGGAGCTCGAGCGCCAGTGTTGAAAATGCTAGCGCAGGAGCTTTGGACAGAATGACAAAGTGATTGACCAACCAAACCACATTCCCATCCCCAGCACCATGCTGCTAACACGGCCAACAATATACATTTCAAAAGCAGATTTCTTTTACCATTTTGTTTAGTTAAATTTAAATTATCCTTCTCTGTTCAATACACCGTATATAGATCAGCGAGGGCTGTTACCAAAGGCAAATTATTTCAGAAAATACTGCTAATGTCTGCAGTGTATACAACAATAGGTTCTGAGTTAATTAGGAATGTACAACTGAGCAACCAGGATGCAACTAATGAGCAATTTATTTTCTTGCATGTGCACACAAGCTGTTAACAAGCCAAACTCATTAAAGTTTATGTTTGAAATAAAATAATCTGAACTTTGTCAGTTTACCTTTAGCTTGGCTTTGAAGCGATCATTTAGTTCCTTGGTAGGTATCAGGATCAGCAAGCACACCAAACTGGTCACCAGGTCACACATGTTTGTGTTTCCCAAGTTGTTGAGCAAGCTGTAACAGGTCTTAAACAGAGTGAACCAGCCCTGGGGCCTGGGGATCTGCAGGCCCAGAAGGTACTTTAACTGTGAACTGAGGATGGTCAAGGAGGCTCCTGTAGCGAAGCCACTGAGAAGGGAGTCAGAGAGATAGACTGAGACGAAGCCAACCTGGAAAATGCCCATTAGCACCTGAGAGAAAGAGATACCCAAATGAATGCCCCCGAGGAATGATCCCACGGAGAAGAATTTAATCATTATCACTAACATGATAATTGTTCTGCCTTAAGATTGCCCCTGCTCACTTACCTGGTAAATTCCAGCAGTGAAGGTAACTGTAGCTCCTACTTTGATTGCATAGCAGCTTCTGTCACATCCCCCCCCAACACTGTTATTCCCCTGGCCAGCCAGCACAATGGCACTATTGTTACCACTGATGCTGCTGGTTTCTGTGAGGTAACCTGCCAAAGCTAACTCCCTATCCACAACCTGACCAACAAGCAGGCAGAGCACCCCAAAGATGCCCACTGAGATGTGTTTAGAAGTGCCTAAGATGGCATAGATGATGGAAGAAAAGAAAGCTGTATAGAGGCCGTATATGGGTTCCTGACTGGCCAATAAGGAGTAGGCTATGGACTGGGGGACCAATAGGATTCCAACTATCAGCCCTGACATGACATCGCCCAGCAACCATTTCCTTAGCTGGTAGCGTGGCAGCCACTTCAGAATTGGGGCAAAGCCCAGGATTTTGGATTTTGCTTTCTTTTGGGTGCACAAGCAGTGTTTCTTCAGCCGATGTGAGACAATGGATTGCCAGTTTTTAGCCTTTTCTTTCTCCACTCTTTCCAGAATGAGAGGCTGCTGCTGCTGCTGCTGCTGGTCGCTCTCGACTCCATCTTCTGCTGCTGTACAGCAGTCATTGCCATGGGTCATTATCAAGCCCTTATCTGCTGTGATTTGAAGAAGAAGAGTTCAGTTTAGCCAAGTTGTCATACCAACAAGAGGAAAACTAATAACTTGAATAAAAATAAAAAAAAAGCAAGATTTGCAACATCTTAACATTTTCAGATGACACTTCAGTAGCAGTGCATAGAGATAAGAAGGGTGACACTATATTTTTGAGGCCAAGAAATATTTCCTCCTCGATGTTACATCACTGTACAGTAAAGACACTTCCCCTTAAAGCTGAGGTAGGCAACCTTGGAGAACAAACTAATTTTGACCAAGGACAAAAAGGCGCATGGTCGACGGGAAGAAAATACAAAGCTTCTGAAGATGGAATCTGTTAAATCATTGCAGCTCTAAACCTATTTCATGTGATATGTTATTCCCTCTCTACATCCTTGACCAATTAAGGTCATTCTATAAACAGGCTTAACCTACTTAGTGAGTAGACTTTTATTTACAGTGAAATGATCACACTTTGTCATTTTAATTCATCATTACCTTGTGGTCTTTTTGTTTCCCCATTTTTAGAAGCGAATGCGTGCAGTAAGCTTGCAAAGTCTATTTAAAAACTGGGCTTAATTTAGTCTAGCTGAAAAGTCACTTTTTATTACAGCTAGTTTACTGTTCTACAACATTAAAATGTAGTAGTAGTAGTAGTATACTTTATTGTCCTCGAAAGGAAATTTGTTTGTTTGGAAAATGGCTGCATTTTAATGTGAAAGAAGCCCTAGACACATGTTGACATTTAACTTAATTAAATGAAATGTTAACCCCAATTGATCACATCTCACAGACGTATTTTAACATTACCTTGCTTACTAGAATCCTTACTGAGTAGGACTAACTTCCCTGCACACTGGTGGCATTTAAAGCTTTCTCAAAAGTTAACACGATTACTGTGAGGTCAACTTGGTTTGTTTCCCCAAGAGAAACTACTCACCTTTAAACTTCGTGGTGTTAATAAGATTAGTCATCCCTACAGGCTATTTAAAAGCTGATTGTTATTGTTAAGCAGTTCACGTTACGTTAAAAATGAAACCGTCCAACTAACGTTAGAGTTACATCAAAAAGTCCGACGATACAAAATGGCAACATCTACTATAGCTGACATTCTTGATCTAATTATCTCGCTGAATTACTTGCGAAAATTCCCTAATGACTCTGTCCAACGCAGTCTGTCTAGCTAACACAACGTTAACTCAGTACTGGAGCTGTGAATGGGCACCATTGTAAACAAGTTGTCAACGTGGACACCGGTTGAAACGTTTAGCCAACTAAAGTGAATCAACGTGACAGCGTGCTCTTCCTCGAAAAACAGAAAACAGCGTTGTTAATGTGTGAAGTAACTGACCTGAGCTCGAACCTGTCGCCGTTTGCGAAGTTAATCTTTGGTTGTGTTCAGACACCCGTCATTCCGCCTCAAATTCATTTTACGCTGGTCTGTTGTTGCTCCGTGCGTAAGGACGTTTTATAGAACGTGTGCCTACGTCACATGACCTGCTGTGGCAAAGATAGCCTGTGTGGGAGGAAGAATCACTATGTAGCAAAATAAGACATTGACATAAGCGATTTCATACAGTCTAAGGGAATCACGCATTAAAAACAAAATAAGATAAGGAAATAAGTTATTGTTTATGTGGTAACATCCTGACACAAACTTTCCAGAAACACACACACACAGTCTATTCACAAACATTCTTGATAGTGTCTGTAAGTCCTTGAACAGTATGTTCAGATATCACAACTTTAACTGCAAACACAGCACATGGAAAACAGACAATGCAGAAAAATAAGCTAGAGATTTGACAGTTCAGTTAGTCTGAAAGCAAGTTTAAGAAGCCAATCACTCTTTTCATAATTGATTCTTTATTGATGTATATTGTCTGCTATGGATATCTTGAAAATAAACCTACTGTGCTGATGTAGGTGAATGGTTATCCAGAAATAGTGAGAACTCTTTTGGCTTTTGTTCTTTGTTAGATTCTTTATATGGTGTTTCAGATTCTTTATACTGGTACAACAGGTATAACAGGTACAAGGTACAAGGTAGATTTATTTATCATTTACAACACAGGGTTGTAAAACTACATTAAGTTGTAGTTCCCTTTATGCTACTGATAAAAATAAACATTATTTAGAAAAAATATTATATAGTAGACTAGTTACAGGGTGTGAGAGGGTGACTGATGTTCATCATCAGAAAGTGGTGGGGGGTGGAGTCATGATATGAAATGAGCTATAGGAGCAGCAAATCAGTGTAATACCACGTTTTTGCAATGACATAACCATCAAGGCAATATCCCATGATGTGTGTAACAGGTAACTTGGAGTGTCAGAAAGGGAGTGGGAAGTGGAGTGTTGGTGAGTCTTGCTTACACTCAGTTTAGTCCTACATGACAAGAGCACATTAACTAAATAAGGCAGAATGATAACATTAAAGGTATATTTAGTGAATTTCAGGAACAGTAGAAATGGTAGAGGGTTGTTGTGGAAGAACTGACACATGTTTTTCATGTTCTTCTGGCCTTGTTGCATGCTTAACATTGAACCAATAATACTTGTTAGCAATTCTTAAAAATAAAAGTAGACCAGTGTACTGCTAGATTAATTTATGAGCTGTTATGAGAAAATAGACTGTTAACATCTTCATATGGTCCAAACTCTTATTTTATGGTATTTTACTGTGTATATATTTGCATATGGATGGGTAGCAAATTATTTAGACAGCATTGCATGAGAGGTTTTTGTTGATGATTTCAAGTCTGAACATTTTTAATGTGTTGGAAGTGCCACTTAAATGTCCCCTGATATCAACACAAAAATAGTAGCTTTTAGGTCTTCCTCGCTAACAACTCCGTCACTGTCGAGTCAAATGATGTTGCTGGAAGCAGGAAGAACTACTTGGCGAACTCCTCTTTCTCGGTCAACATAGCGTGAACTGAGGAATTTGTTGCTTTAATAGACAATCAACCCTGACAGGACAGCCACATAAAATGTTCCGGAGTTTCCCTTTAATTTAGGCTATATGCCATAAGTACTCATTTTCATCACACAGCACAAGTGCTAAGGGTGACAGAGAAAGGAATTCCAGGATATGTCATTAAACATTGGAAGGTATCGTAATCCCAGTGTTGTAATTGGATGCAGGCTTATGTCCACACATGACCATTTAAAACCATCCTGGTAATCCTTTTTCTTTTCTCAGACACCTGCCGAGTTGGTTAGCAGTACAGAGGGATTATACAATTTTATTACACGCTTTGCTGAAGGGCTTCAACAGGTAGGAATGTTTGCTGTTTATTAAAATCTATTAGATCTATGGGACACAGATGTAAGTTGCACATTATCATCATTACTTTATTCATACATTTCTATGTGAAGTACCTTGGGAGAGGAAGAGACATTGTACAGTATCAACTGCTAGAAGGGCTTGATAATCTCAGGAAACTACTAAATTGACTAAAATGTCTCAATGTTCAATTTGCAGTACTACCATGTTAAATAAATTGCCAGGAATTATTTGACTTTAGCATTGATATGAAGATGATTTAAGGGGATAACACCCACTTTGCTTTTCTTTCAACTACAATTGTTTTCTTCTATGTAATAATAGAATATGCATATATTTTTCTATAGCCGATAATAAACTAGCCAACAATGAAACCACCCAATATTAATAAGGTTACGAGTCAAAGACATAGAAATTGACAGACAAAACAATATTTCTATGAGCTGAGTAAGCCTGTGTGTGCGTGTCATATGCTTAGGAAAGGATCTTTTTATTTAAGTTGCGTGTTCAATTTGTTTGTTGTTTTTCAAGACAAGTGCTTGTCTGACTATAAAATCAGTTCACCAGTGGTTCATGTAGACAGCCTAAGTTGGTTGAATAATACTAAAGTATTTGTGGGAGGGGGCTTGATTGTAGTCACAAAGCCCCAGAGAATTATCTGCAGCTCTACTGAGCTTTTTAGCATCTCAGATCATTGTTTTGGTTTTACAGCACATTTACAGATTCAGTCACATCAACCCTGTTTCCAGCTGCAGCAGGCAGCTATTTTCAGCAAACAACTGAATAACCCCCTGTACACTACCTGCCAAGCACCAAACTACAGAAGACAAAGTTAGCGACCAGCTGGTGAAGAAAGTAGAACCTTTTAATGGTGCTTTTTTTTGTTGCTATTTTTTGTTTTAAACCAAACCATGGCTAAAAGAAGAGTGAATACTGGACTTACATTTGTTTGTTTGTTGTTGTGGACATGCGTGACCATAAACAATTAAGTGTTTATGGAAGGGTTTTGCTATTTTATCAGTTAAATGCATTAGCAGTTCAGAAGTCATTGACCCACTTGATTTGCATTGCTAACCATCCAGCATTAACATTACTACCATCTGTTTCAAATTGTGTCCTGTCAGCAGCGGTTATGGTGGACGCAGCGGTAGCAGAGCAGTTCCTGGATGCCAACCCGCAGTTCGCCAAGCAGTACTATGACATCAACTTCCGGCCTAAGGTCATCTCAGACCTGCTGGACAGCAACCGGAAGGCAGTGGTGGACATCAGCAAGTTCCACGAACTGACGATGGTAGAGGAGAGTGAGGTCCTCTTCGACCTGGTGCGGGACATCCAGGACAACCTGAATATGGAGAAGTGTGTCTTCAACCTCATGAAACACCTCAGCTTCATGATGAAGGCCGACCGCATGAGCCTCTTCATGTACCGGCAGAGGAATGGAGTGGCCGAGCTGGCAACAAGGTTACTGCGGATTTCTTTACGAAGTTTAAAAGTATCTTTTGTTCTGTTTCCAGAACACCATCTGACAAATAGGAATGTGACCACTGAAACAGATTATGTATTGGTAAAAAAATAAAAAAGATAATATTTCTTTGCCATGAAACGAGTTCACATGTTGGTCTCATGAAAAGTAAGCAGTAACAATTAATCTTGAAACTAAATATTTTGCAAAGCAATCATTGTCAGAGCCCACTACAGCTGGACTCCTGCTCTTGGCAGCTCCAGTGGGGATTTAGAAGGCAGGCGCCTTGTTCAAGGGCACATTGATGTGTCCAGAGACTTTTGCATCTCTTTAGTGACTGAGTCCAACTAGCAACACTTTAAGATTACCTGTTTGAGTTAGAAACGTAAAAAAGATCAACTAAGAAAACCTACTTTAGTTGCACAGCACGTTATAATACATGTATTTTTATCTTTACCTCCAGGTTATTTAATGTCCATAAAGATGCAGTGTTTGATGATTGCCTGGTGCAGCCTGACAGTGAGATTGTGTACCCGTTGGATATGGGCATTGTGGGCCACGTGGCGACCTCCAAGAAGATGGTCAACATTCCCATTGTGTCAGAGGTAACAACACGACTAATGTTTGTGTGTTGTTGTTTTTTTTTTGTTCTCACTAGTAATGTGGTACTGACATGAGCATCAAAACCACATTACTTGTTCAATTATTCATATACAGAATTTCCCCTCACATAATTGTCATAAACAGTAAAATGTGGCAAATGCTTCCTCCCAATTTTTGTCTCCATCACTTTTACTTCCTGTTGCATAAAGTACCAAAGCATTAGCATCTATGATTATTTCTTTAGAAGTATTTTCAAATGGATTAATTTCCAAGTCTTTTTTTTTTATTAAACCAATTTACCCTGTGTTGTCGTCATGTTCTACCATTTTGACTTCCACAAAATCTGTCTAATCCGGATTAGTCATTAATCAATTCAGCAAAGATAGATTGTTTGGAAGTAAAATATGTCCTCTGTTAAAAAATACATTAAAATATTAAATATTTCTTATTGCTCAGTAAACATTCAAACCCCTTTTTTGCCAGGGTGTAAAAACTTGTCCACTGGTGCTTTGTCTTTGTTTGACCACCAGATGGCGACGACACTCCACTGATGCCAAACCAAAGCCAGCTCAATCTCATTATAGCCAATACCTTTGGCATTTGAAAATGGCTGGCAAGCTTTTTCCCATGTACATTTCAAGTTTGTCATGCTACTGCAAGTCCACTAACTTCACATCCACTCCCTGCCCACTCCTGCACAAAGTGTTATTTTGACATTTATTCTTAATAAGGCAGCAGCTCACTCTGCATAACTGATGGATTACAAGCCCTCCTCTGTATCAGTTCAATCACTTCCTTTCACGGAAGATTAGCTTATGTACAAACAAAACAGACCCGGGATGATCGTTTCCGTTTGTTTTTTATCTTTCAGCTTTGCTGCCAGGCCGGCCTGTTGTGCCTTTACTATGAGCCACCACAGAACAAACATCACCATGCTGTTCAAAACCTCTGTCCGTCACGCCGCAGCTTCACAAAAACACATGAAAGCACGATGGGAAATGTAGCAAATGGAACGATATCAAAGCCTCCAACCCTCAGTTTCCCCAGCCATAGCGAAGGGACAGCTAATGTTTCCATATAATTGGTTGGCTCTATGATGCTAATGCACTGAGGATGGCCTTTCAGAGTAATACAGAGACTGGGAATCACTGTCTCTCAATGCTCTATTTCCATCCTAGTCCAATCCAGGGCAGGCCATTCAGGATTCTTCTAGGTGGAAGGTGGGGATTATGTTTCTCTGGGATTATGTACTGACCAACTGCTGGCATCATTTCACCCCCTTCTTCTATTCCTGCCCCCTTAAAGTGAACATAATTGTCACATCATTTCTAGATTAATAACTCTGGCTTTTATTGCAAGTGTGGTAACTCGAGGGGTGTGCGTGTGAGGAAGAAGGTGGAGAGCGTTAGTGGGGGAGGTTCCAGATGAAGCCGGTTAATCTGCCTGAATTAGAGCGATCCCAGATTACTCCCAGAGGTCACACAGGCTCTGAGCCATTTTTACAGACTCAGCACTATTACACACCTTTAATCTATTCTGTTACATTGAATCGTAGCACAAACCCACTGAAATCCATTTAATGTGTCATAACCTGAGAAGCTAAATTGGCTAGGGAGGAAGTTCATTTATTGATGTCTGTGTGCAGACTTCATATAAAATTATTTACATATTCGTTACTACATATGTGTTTATTTATTTGGATAAGTTTCTTTATTTTATGCATGTATTATTCATTTACAGATTTCATTTTCTTCCATTTATGGAAGTGAGACAATGATCTCATTTGAGGTATAGATTGATACATTTCTAATAATCAAAATCAAAAAAATTATTTCAAAACCCTTATGTAGGAATTTATGACACAAGCCTACAGTAAATAATATTACAGGTCTCTGGGACGGTAGATTTTCTATATTTCAATACATGTGTGAGTTACCTACCTACATGGTCATTCTCTTTTACAAAAGAGCAAAACAGAGCTAGAAGAGTAAAGAGCTGCATACATGAATAGTGTATATAAATAAACTGTATAACTTCTGAGGGTTTTTTTGTATATCAAAATAAAACTTACATTAAGCTTCTGAAGTGTAGAGCTCAAGAACTCAAGATTCAGCAGATATTAAGAACGAAGACGTCTCTGAGCTTTAGGTGGTCAAAGGACTTTTGACAACAATCTGTCAAACTGCCCAGATCTTTGGAACAGGTTCATTTTTAAGCTGTGTAAGGCTGCAGTTGAGTACGTTTTGTCTCAGACTGATTTCCCCCCTACTGCCACACATCAGCTCGACACTTCTGTAGAGAGAAAAAGAAAACATTAGACATTAATAAATAAAAAGGATGGTTTACTCAATTCGTTTGTGGTGCAAGATGAGGACTGATCCAATAATAATACTGATGTACCTTTTTTTTGCGGCATTCATTTTACAAACAGAGTGAATGCCTTTGAATGTAAAACGATCCCTTGAACAAACCAACAAATTTTTTTTTGCAGAGGCAGGATATGTATCTGCAGCTGGGTAGAAGGAAGAGGGTTTGAGTTGCTGCTCAGGTTATATATTCATGGCTTTACTGCTGTCACATGCAAAGCCATGAATATATATATATATATATATATATATATATATATATATATATATATATATATATTTTTTTTTTTTTTTTCCTTACCTGCACCTACCTACTTTACTAATGCTCTTTGCCCCCTTAAATGTTGCTCCTCCTATCATGGACTTGAGTAGCTAGTTTTGCTTCGCCCCATGGGAGACCCTTTTCCAGCAGCTCAGCCTTCACTCTTCTTTGTTAGAGACCCAATATGTGTCCAGGACATCTTGGACGACTGTGTTTAATTTCTGAGATCATGCTTCGACAGTCGGTCTTTATGTTGATTTACTTATTTTATGTTTTGTTGGGCCAGAATATAAGGCAGATCTTGTGCGAATGAGCTGACTTTGCTCGTGTCGCATTTAGTTGTTTGCCAGCACTCAGTCCCATATAGCAGAACCAGCGTGTTCAAGGTGTTATTAGTTTTAGACTATAGGTGTTATACTTTAAGATGCCATGGAGTCTTGCAAGCTTTCCGGAGTCTGCGCTGGATATCTTTGTGGGTGCAATTTTCCTGACTAATCAGACTTCTCAACTTTTCTTTGTTTTCAACCAGGAAATAAGACCATCACAAAAACATACACCTTCCCTTACCCAAATCAAGACTGTGTCCCCAATTTTTAAACCCGAATGGTCGCTGTCTGCAGGTTTTTGTTCCTTCTTGGCAGTTAATGAGCTGCTCTTCCACTGTTTCACCCCTGGAGGAACACAATTGATGACCCCTGCTACACAGGAGGACCAGTAGGTGGAGTGCAGCAGAAATGGCCTTGAGTTTGTGGATAATGGAAAGCCTTTGCTAGCAGCATTTACGGATAGAAATGGTGTGTTCATCAAAGTCTTCTCTTTTCTCATCTCTTCTCTTCTCAGAGCCCTCATTACAGTAACTTTGTGGACGAGCTGACAGAGTATCAGACCAAAAATGTCCTCGCCATCCCCATCATGAATGGTAAAGACATGGTGGCTGTTATGATGGCCGTCAACAAGTTGGATGGGCCGCACTTCACTGCAAAGGATGAAGAGGTAACATCTAATACTGCCTGTGTTCGAAAGCAAACTCAATTTTAGTGATTCTGTCACATGAATAAAATTACATTTGCAGCTTTATACTGAACTTTTCTTAACCAGTTATAAAGTGCCTCAAAACTAAAAACGAGCACAATAAAATATGCTCCCCCTCACCATTCATGTGTTTTCCCTTTACTTACTTTTGTCATTGCTTTATGTCGCTTCTCCAAACTTTCTCTGATAGTAACTGACTGTCTGACTGGACGGTGATCCCACACAATTAAACTCAGTCTGACAAACTTTACAATAATGGTTTAAGGTCTGTTATAGAAGCTGGATAAAACTATATGACGTAGATGTAGCCTCGGTTGTTCAGTGTCAGTTTTGTCCTTTGGCAGCTAACTTGCTGTATTTTCCTGCTTCCACACTGGTATTTTGGGTGCCTGCATCCCAGGACCATGTTTATGTTTTAAAGCTTTATTTAATCCCTGGTTTTCTCTAAATGTGATGCTGATGACAAAACGTAAACTGCATTGGTTGCACTATCCTCCCAATTCCTTAAATTAAAAAAATTTATAATCTGCATTTGGATCCAAATGTGAGTAAAAATTCAGTGTGAAAAAGATAGTCTTTCTGAGTGATTGGCTGTTGGCACCCAGGTATTTTTAGACATCATTTTAGGACATGTAACTTCTATCAAGTCCTTGGTTATGGTAATTTAATTGATCATGTTTTACTAGTGCAACATATACAGATAAAATGCCATTTACTTTGGCTTCACCCAAATATGGAGCAAATTTCAGTCAATCGGAAATAGAAAAGCATTTTGCTTCTCACAAAGTCAGTCACATGTATAAGTTGTGAAATAATTTCTTAATCAAAGTGTGCACTTACCTTACATTACATTACCACTTGACATCTTCTTGATCTTAGCCACTGTTGAAATAGGTGCAGACCTCCACTGTAGCTGCCTGAAGCTTTGTTACATCACCTGGAAGCCCTCTGTGGCATACTGTCCAAATACCACATTGAAACAATGAATTGTCTTTGTCAAGAAAGAGGAGACGATGACTATTTGGAATGTTTGATTAAAAATGAGATCTGCCGTTTGAAATGTGTCACCTACTCTGACTGATGGCACAAAGGTAAAAGCACAAACTTGTTAAGAAACAGAATATTGCAATGTTATCGCTGTGCCTTTGCTGAGAAACCACAATCTCATCCATTGATCAGTATTATGCAAAGCAGCTGAAAGGGTGTACTGTCTTCTTCCAGACGCTAAACAAGTATCTCAACTTTGCCAACCTGCTCCTGAGAGTTTTCCACCTGAGCTACCTGCACAACTGTGAGACAAGGAGGGGACAGGTGAGGCTGCAGATGCATGCAGCATCTGAATTCCTCTTGTTCCTTTGTAAGATTTAGTTTGAGTTTATGCTCAGGCTGTGGTCACACTGTAGCTGAGAGAGTCCCACATCTGACCCCTTTTCCTCTTGACTCAGATCTAATGTTTTTTAGTTGCATGGATTCACATTATTTTCACTCTTGATAACATAAATATGTGGTACAAGATGCCTCAATTTAACCTGACTCTAAAAGCACAAACAATAACAAAAATATGATTGGGGCGGAGGAGAAGTTCCAAGTTATACCTCTGGGTCTGTGCTGTGCAGGAACTTTGGAACTGTTGTCTTGCATTTTATTTTACTCCATTGCTCAGGTGCTGCTGTGGTCAGCCAGCAAGGTGTTTGAAGAGCTGACAGACATAGAGCGGCAGTTCCACAAGGCCTTGTACACAGTCAGAGCTTTCCTCAACTGTGACCGTTACTCTGTGGGTCTGCTGGACATGACCAAGACCAAGGTGGGTTACCATATTCTACTGTTTGAGATTGTCAGGTACCAAATTAACAATAAGTGTCTTAAATATCTGAAACTCATATTAACCGTCATTTCCACATTTAGGGAACTTTAATGTAAATGCAGATTGTGGAGCAATAATCTACATTTAGGGCTTAATTTTGGTTTTAAGAAGCTTAACTGCAGCAACAATGCTTGCTTTCATAAAATTCTTAAAAACTTTTCATTTAGCATGAGCCACAAAGAAACTTAGAGATACACAATGCACAATTTAAATTGTGGCATCCATTGCTTAATACTTATGCCTTGCTGTTTTTGTACCATTTTTATCCCAACTGAGGTTTGATGAGATTTCAGCTTTTTCTCCTCCTCTTTTGGGAAGAGATATTTTCAGAAAATCCTTTGGGGGTTTCTTTGTCTAATCTGCACAGTTTTTCTGTCTTGGTCTAGTTTTCCATTGCCTTTATCCCTTGTGTCAATGAAAGAAATAACGCATAAACCCTTCTTCTGATCAGTGTCGTACAATCACCATGTATTTGTGATTTGTTACTAACATACTGTCATAAATACTACTTATTGGCTGTGGCTGTCACCTAATTACAAGCAGCTGCCAGTTGATTCCTAACACCTGCTATCTTCAACAAACACATGTTGTCTGCCTGCACAGATGGCTGTGTAGTAACAACACTGGATTTCATGAGTAAAGAACTTTTAAGAATAAACAAAACTAGTAGCTCAGTTTTGAGCCAATGTTTTTGGAAACCGGGCACTTTGTGAAGACAGAACAAAAAATATTACACACCCCTAAGAGGCTCCTGGCATGAGCATAAAATAGAGTAAGTTCATCCAAATAATGAATCAACAGAAGTAGCCCCACTCTAAAGCTTTTATTTTTTTTTGTCTGTGTTTTTGTAGGAATTCTTTGACCTGTGGCCAATTCTGATGGGAGAAGTTCCACCATATGATGGACCCAAAACTCCTGATGGCAGGGTGAGGAAGTATTGACTACTGCTCCTGCTAAATTCAGCACTTCTATTGATGTGAGACTGTTATAGATACTCCCAACAAGTAGCCTGTGACCTCCTGACATTTAATCTAGTGACACCATCAGGTCAAAATGTCCCTTCACATGTCCACAAGAAGGTTTCTCATATTGCTAACTTAAGTGAGTACTTTCGGTCCAAGAGAATGAACCTTTTTTTTGTGTACTCTGACCTTCTTGCATCACCATCAGGCCAACTTTTATATATGCGCTTTGATACATGCTATCAAAAACGGGTGGCCAAATTTCAATAACACCTGCTGTGCAAATTCAGGCTCCAAGGTCTCCGAAACTATTTAGATTCTACTGGGCTAATGACATTTCTCAAACGCCACCGTCAAGACAAACATGTTCAAGCCTTCAGCCTGACTACTGGCAAAGTTTAAGAACTGCTACATCAGAATCAGAATCCGCTTTATTGCCAGGTATTTGTACACAAACGAGGAATTTGACTTAGGATTGAACATTGCTCACGATGTGCTTACTCATACAATAATACAATAACACAATAATAAAATCAGACACAGGCTACAGTAGAGTGAACATATATATATACACACTATGTACTTGAGTTAGGTGGATTTGGTATACGGTATATACAATATGAAAATATAACAATATGAATATCTATACCTTAATCTTAAGTCTGTAGAATATGATGTGTAGGTCAGGCCATCTCAGCAGCACAGCAATATTTAATCTAATGATATTCTGACACACATTTTGCCTTTAACAAATGGTGTACGGTACAGTACTGCGATTTGAAAATTACAGTAGGCCAAAATGCGACTTGGATAAGATCTCGATTAGTTGTTCAGCCCTAGTGTAACAACGAATGCTATTTATCTTTCCATAAAAAAAGAAGATATTTTCACTATCTTCTCCACAAAATGTCTCTCTAATGTTTATGTTGTGTGTCTTCTCAAGGAAATTATCTTCTACAAACTGATTGACTACATCCTGCACGGCAAAGAAGACATCAAAGTCATACCGTAAGTCACAACAGAGATCTAGTTTAAAGGTACCCTGTGGAGTTTTTGACCATTAGTCGTGCTAAGAAGTCGTTTTTTAAGGTGTCTGTGCCCGTTTTGTTTGTTCTTGTGCAAGTGGAGGCACATACATGGCCACATACACGTGCTGGTGCACTTCACACTCCTGGCAAATGTATTGGACTATTCCACTGATCTACAGTGGGCTGTAACATGCCAAGAAACCAAGCAATGCACCAACAAAAGCAGGGAAGAAGAAGACGGCGAGTAAACATGGATATAAACAATGCAGGTTTCAAAGTTTAAAAAAATCAGTTCAGCAAATGTTTAATGAGGAGTGAAATACAGACCTAGACCTCAAGGATACACTCAATGCATTTTTGGGTAGTAACAGAATTTTGTTTACAAGAAAACTCCACAGGGCACAGATAATGTGTTTGGAGAGGTTATCACAGAGATAACAGGATACTAATGCTAGCTCTTCCTCCCTGACAAAGCCAAACATGATATACATTTTATCTAATAAAAGATTAAAAAAGATCACTCCCAAAGTCTGGTGTAGCATTGCACAGGGTCATTTTATATTTCTTACAAGTCATTACCATTCTGATCCGGTGTTCTATTTCTATCATCCAACATTGCTGCTCCTGTAAACAGTAATAACCATTGTCCAGACATTTCACTGCAGAATTATCTCGCCTTGTAAATTGAAAGTTGTTAATGCATTATTTAATGTTAATGATTTTACCTAACATTTATTTCACCCTGGCAGTCAAATTTATATTAACACTTGATAGGAATGTAATGTACATCATTCTTTTGTTTTCCTGTTCTTAAAGATGATTATTATAACAACTGACTTTTCTGCCTGTTCTGTTCGTCCTCAGCAATCCTCCAGCAGATCACTGGGCCCTGGTTAGCGGTTTACCAACCTATGTAGCAGAGACTGGACTGGTCAGTGTCTGTTTTCTTTGGAGCTCCTGTTCCTTTATTTCAAGTTTGCTCTGAGATTTTGAAAACATCTTACACACATGTTAGGAAATTAACATAAACTCTCGTCTGACACAAGAACATGCTAGAACCATGAAAGAATAATCTGGCTATCTAGTTTGTCACTCATACACATTACAATAAATGATCACTGAAGCGTGTCAAATAATACACAAAAATTCCTGTTTGTAAAGTTCTTGTCATGTGTTGGGTATCAAACCTGAACTCCACAACTGTACTTCCTACCATGCTGAGCAGTGAAAGGTGAACTATAAGTGGTGTCTCCCTAGTGCCAGCAAAGGCATGGAAAAAGATCGCAAGCTAGTAAATATGGATGTGAACAGTGCTTGTTTTAAAATACTTTGCAAATGTTTTATGAGGGAGGAAACGCACGGTGCACGTTTGTTAGCTCTCAATGATACACACAATAAGTTTTGGTGAGTAAATGTAAACATAACTTGCATTTATTTATAAGAAAACTTCACAGGACCCATGTAGGTCAACAACAGAATGCTTTAGAACAGCTTTAAGCTACACTAGCATATTTCATCATTCTTCCTCAGTTTTGTGGATGTCTAACTTTTCTGTCTGCTGGAAATTTCTATGGAAATTGCAAGTTAATAAAGGGCCAAAATCAGACCAAAGGTGGCCAGGAAGTGTAATCAGATTTACATTTTAAGGAATCTAGCTGTCACATTTGCATTAAGTTGCAATGAGTTAATGAAGGACACTTTAGCAGGGACTTTCAGCACCTGCTTGGCCACTCTGGAACCCAAATATGTATGAATTAAACAACAAATGAATAATGAATGAATGGCCGGTGAGCAGGTTGAATGCAAACAGTGGCAGCTCTGTTCAGCAGGGAAGTAATAACCTTTAGTGTTATAATAACCTGTCTTGACAATGAGGCAGATGATAAGAGTCAGGTTTGGGTTTTTTTTTTTTGGCCTATTTACAGCAAGTTTGATTAAACTAGTAGAATGGAAGGAATTTACGGTCATTTGTGCTAGGATTATAATAAAAAGAAACATTAATAATAGTAATGGTAGTACTAGTAGTAGTAATAATAATAATAATACAGTACTTCTTAATGTCTTTGAAATCAAAGGCTTTAATAAATATTTACTATTTTTTTTATTGGACATTCATTTCGTACACTGTATTTCTCAGTCATCCTTCAGGAATGATCAGTGTTGAAATTGCATGAATTTATTGTCAACACAGGCTGCATATTGAAAGCAGTACCTCAGTAGCGCAGCCATTTGTGTCTGCATAGGTTGCATTCAGGCACAGTACTGTGTGTAGGCCACCTGAGTTTTGGCAGCACTCAGAGCCCAATAGACAATCACTGTAGTTAAACATGTAAATTGAAAGAAAATATACTTGCGGAGTAAAAATACACTTTGGATCACGGTTCTACACATAAAGCATATAACATATAAAGTTAACGTGGCCTTTGTAGACACCCGCATTGATTAAAATAGCAGCATTCTGGCAGACACGTGTGAGACGGACGACTGAAAAACACGGCTGAAACATCTCCTGTGTAGACAAGATGTAAGGCATATTCAGCCAATCCCTGCAATATTTGGGAAAACTAAACCATCTATAGTCTAATATCTTAAACTAAGCATTTGGTTTATGGAGCTATGGAGCAAATATTACTTTAATGGGTTTTGTAAGGTCTATTGTATATTATGGACAATGCATGGTGAGATTGTTTTTATTTGATGCATTCAGTTATATTCATATATTTGTGACAGCTCATCTTTACCTAATCACCCAAGTATAGCTTAAAGATCCAAATCCAGCATTATTTGAATGATTGAATATGTTTTCAAAATCAGTTAGTGTGGCTGGAATCAACCAAAACTTTTAGCTTGGAGCGAAATTCTCCTCATTTCTCACTCTGACTTTTAGAGAACAGTTTTCTTTTCTGCTGTGCAGGAGTCCATATAAAACCAGTGTCCTTTAAAATATCTTTATTTCAAAATATCATCACTAGAAGCTGCGGGTGGTGAGACGAGCAGAGCACCATTAGGCCTTATTACACAGTTGTCAGTGTGCACACAGTTGTGGAAATGAAAAGTGCTCTGCCACACGCTGCTGTGATGTATAATTGTAATTTCTTCAGCCGTTGTAATTAATCACAGTGTGTTTTCCTCAAACCGCTGAGCCTGCCATCGCTCATCTATCCCACCTTCTGTATCATCCCGTCTGTCCTCCTCCTGTCCTGTTCTTTCATTGTCTTTGTATCTTGCCATTTTTCAACATTATCTTTCCTCCCTCATCTTCTCCTTTTTTTTCCTCTTAACATATAAGAGGTGAAAACGTTCATTCACCACAGTGCCACCTTTTAATAAATTGAGGGGAAAAAACATGTCAGATTGACATGACATTGACGGTTTTGGATGTGAAATGAGATGTTTTGAATGGATTCACTGTAGGGCAATAAAACTCCTGAACATGAACATCCTTGAGAACATGAGAGCAAAGATCTCCTCCTCCTACTAGCTATTTTCATATTCTTATTTCTTCCAAACATGGACTTTTATATTTGTAATCCCCACCTTTACAGATTAAACAGGGAATATAATTATAAAAAGTTTTAGATTCGTAGGATTAACATTAGTAGTTTTCTTCCAGAGCACCCCACTCACATTGTAGCAACTCCCATCAAATATCATTCTCAATTTTGTTATTGATTCTTATTTCCCCTTTTCAACAGATTTGCAACATAATGAACGCAGCTGAGGATGAATTTTTCAACTTCCAGGTAAGATGGTCTAAAGATGGAATACAAACCGAAACAAAATCAAGGACAATGAATTGTATGGTATTAAATAACTTTGTAAAACACCCAAACATCAGTTTTTCATCAAGTCTTCAGTATGTTCTTGAACACACCGAAGGGGCTGAAGTCCATCAGCTTAATTTATTTCTGGAAATGATTCCTGCACAATGTTTTTCATTGTAAATGGCTTAATCCCCAATGATAACTTTATAAACTAAAGAAGTCTGGCTTATTCTCTTATCTAAATGAATGAGGAATCAGGCAATTGATTGTGCTTTATTGCGTTAATTGTGTAAAAAACTAAGTGTTGCATTTACAGGAGAAAATGTTAAATAATTAATCAGTGAAATGAAGCTACAGTAGTTGAACCATTTCTTTCTTAATTTTAATTTTAACAGCAACATAGCTCCACCCTCTATAGATGTTGCAGTTTATTAAACACTTGCTACTTTGCTTCCAAATTTGATTAATATGCGGGAAAACTATGATGTACAAATTATTAACTGTACTAACTGTACTGTATTAATTGATGTTCAATATACATTTACATCAATGGTTTGGCAGACGCTTTTGTCCAAAATGAGGTACAAATATGATCATCCACAACCGGTATGACATTATTTTGATTCACACTCAAATCTTTCTGTACATTAACACAAGTTGATGCAGTGAGAAATTGAGCAATTTTACTCATTATCTGTAATCACATAATCAGATCAAAAAGTAATAGATAACAATAGCATTTTGCTGTCAGTTTACAGTAATTGCACAATGTGGTGAGCCTTTACTCTTGAGAACTCTTGAAAAAATTTATTAAAAACTAACTTAGCTATAATGGGGTCACATGTAACATAAAAGACCACCAGGGAACAATAATAAGGAGCGATTCTGCCAGATAGTCCTAACTGAATAAATGATATGTTCCTCATTCTCTGCTCTCCTTACTTTAAATTAGTTTCCTGGGGGCAATGAAAGGCTCATTGTATTTATCCTTATTATACTTTTTCTGATACAGTGGTAGCCATTGTGGCTGCTCGTACATTGATGCTGGTTGTGCACTGCTGTTAATTAGTGTCTGAAAGTTAACATGAAAATACACCTCCTCTCTTACACAGGTTAATCTCAGTCTGAGGTACATTGGGAAACTGGAGTTGTTTTGTGATGTGTTGTAATTGACCTCATGAGAAAGCTAAGGAAAGGTCTGGTACTTAAAACATTTACTGTGGTCTGTTTTGTTTCTGTGTTGTATTGCGGTCTATCTGTAGAAATCAGTCTGTTGGCGTGTACTACAACTAATTATAACAGTATGCTGTTTGAGCAGTAAGTCCATCAACAAAAAGTCAACATGCCAATTGACAAAAGGGGGTTTGGTAGTGGCCTATAACAAAAAGGCACGCAACGTCTAAACCGATTTGCATAACGTGACCAAAGACAATGAGCAGGTGAATTATTGATTGGTTCATATTTTTCTCTGAATGTAGACGGTCACATTACATTCCTGTAAGGAAAAAATAAAATAAAATTAGTGATACAAGTAAATAAAGGCCTGTAATCATATCAAAGTAACAATGCAGATGAAGCTTTTTCTTATTTTTAGTCATTGAATTAATGTATGTTTTGTGTGTGTGTGTGTGTGTGTGTGTGTGTGTGTGTGTGTGCATGCGCGTACAGACAGAGCCTCTGGATGATTCTGGCTGGACCATTAAAAACGTCCTGTCTCTGCCAATTGTCAACAAGAAAGAAGAGATAGTGGGTGTGGCCACGTTCTATAACAGGAAGGATGGGAAACCCTTTGATGAAATGGACGAAACACTGATGGAGGTAGTGTGTGTGTGTGTGTGTGTGTGTGTGTGTGTGTGTGTGTGTGAGACATCGCTGAGTCATTGGTTTATAAATACATACAGCGTTTGCATTATTTATCACTGGGCCTTGAGGCTTTTTACTGAGGTTTCTGTATCTGCCTCACTACTCAGAGTGCAGTTAAAATACACATGACAATTTGATCATCAGCTGTTCCTTAAAATCAAAGAAAATTTTTCATTTTGATATTTGAACATGATTTGAATTACTGTAAAAACGTGATTTGACCAAAATCTACTTCAAAAGCTTTTTAGATTTGATGTTTTAACGAACAGTATTTGGTAATGTTTCCCAAACAAACTGACACTAGTGAAAAATAAGTACAGTTTACTTCTTGTACTTAACTTGATCCTTTACATTTGAATCAAATTTGTGCTCTTACTCAGAAGAAAATGTTATACTTTTGAATTGTAATAGATTATGCTACCCACTGGATAAAATGTTGCAACGTTAAAGTTCTGCTTTTACTTTTGATACTTTAAGTATGTTTTTCTCATAATACTACTGTATACTTTATTAACATTTTAAATGTAACCACGGACTGGAAGTAATGCACACTGTTTTTACTTGGGTATGGACTGAAGAACGTAGTTAGTGTGAGCAGTGATAGCCACTGGGGCTGAACAGAAGGCAAAGAGTGTCACCTACTTTTTTTCGTCGACACACCTGCCACCAGTATTGGCTATTAACTCTCCCTCACTCTCTCACTCACGCACACATGTGTAGTCTCTTACCCAGTTCCTGGGCTGGTCGATGCTGAACCCTGACACCTACGACAAGATGAACAAGCTCGAGAACAGGAAGGACATCTTCCAGGACATGGTGATGTACCACGTGAAGTGTCGCAAGGATGAAATCCAGAACATTCTGGTTAGTAAACGTAGAAAATAAATCAACTACTGCAAGGATAACTTTATCACCAAAACATTTTTGAATCTGACAGAATTTTAGATTTATTCATCCGTAAAGATGATTTGTGGTGGTTTTCTGCACGTTTCCGTTCTTCTAGAACATTTCCAAACAATTTCAAAAGATGTTTTTTCACACATAATTGTACTTTTGCCAGGTTAGAAAAGCCTTGGGGGGAAAAAACATTTACACCAACATAGACCATTTTATTTATTTATACAGGTGCATCTCAGAAAATTTAAATATCGGGATAAAGTTATTTTTTTCCATAATTTAATTTAAACAGTGAAACCTTCATGTATTCTAGATTCATTACAAATAAAGTTACAATTTCTTTTTTTTATTTAATCTTGATGATTAAGGATTACAGCTCATGGAAATCTAAAATCTATATCTCAAAATAATTGAATATTAGAATAAAGAATGTATAATTCTCCCCCAGGGGTAGAGCCATTGCAAAACAAAACAACATGCTTTGAAAATACACCGTTCTTCTGATACATTGAACGTAATAGTAGACAACACATTTATATTTAACTAAACCTGTGTTTGCATATGTGTGTGACCATATTTTGTGTGTGTGTGCGCCATAAAGAATTTGTCTTTTTCTTTGATCTGCACCGGTATGTTCAGCTTGCATGGGCACGTGTTGCAGACCAAAAAAAAGCACATGAAGTAGGAGCTTTTTCTCTGTGTGCGGTTGTGCTTGAGGCCAAGTTAGAGGTGTGTGTGTTCTGCATTAAAAGTGCAAAGTTAAAAGAAATTAGTTGGCATGTAAAGACTCTGTCTGTGTGGAGCATAATGTTACTAACATCAATTTAGTGGTGGCTGAGAACTACAAGTTACAATGACAACCTCACGTAAACCATGGAGAAGATCACAACAATAAACCTAATCAAATCATGACCTAATGGGTCAAAGGTCACACTGCCCATGGACCCAGCTTTCAGCTAACATTGATGGTGTGAATACCTGGAGGATTGTGAGAGACTGAGCTCAGTGGCTCACTTTCATAATAAAGATTCAGTTTAGGTCACACATACTTTAAAATTTAGTAACATCTTGAATGAAAAAGTTGTTTAAATGTTGAAATTAGGGGATATAGGGTTTTGGTGAAATTAAATAAAGATGAAGAATGTGTTTTGCACCAGGAATGGCATTCCCAACCCTGCAAAGTTAGTGCCTTGCTTAATCCTTTTGATATTTGTGCTGAACGAAATCAGTCTCCTGCAAAGCAGTCAGTTGATGTGGATGATATAAACAGGAGGGTGACCATCGTTTATAAACTGAAATAAGCTGTCAGATTTTCTATGAGGTGATTTGTCAGTGGACAGGTCGAGAGACACACAACAAAAGCAGCGAGATGACCTGCTTTGACCTTACATCAGAAGTCAGTTGATTGATGTTGAATCGTTTTAATCCAAGGTGAGCATTGATGATGTGTGTTTTCCCAGAACACCAGGGAGAGATGGGGGAAGGAACCAGATGAGTGCGAGGAAGAGGAGCTGCAAGAGATTCTGGTAAATAAAACAACAACAAACCAAACAATGAAAAACATCCAGCTTTTGTTTCAGGAAATTCCACGAAGGCCAAATCCATTATCCACACAATTCCTCTGATTTTACTGAAGCTACCATGATTCTGTGAAGGTGGATCAAAATAGGGGGAAGTGTAATGTTTGTTATGAAGGACACACCACCATGTTGGAAAAATGATAACAATGACGACAGACTGTAACATTATATTTAATCCACAGATAAAACCTGTGACCTTTTTGCATATACTGTAGGGTTTCTAGTTATTTCACTTTCCTACCAAACTATGGGACTGTTTTGTGTCTTGAAAAAGTATTAGTATTCTACATGTGACTATTTTGACAGTAGGATCAACACAAAGCCTTGATAAATGATTGCAAAAATCTATAGTATAAATTTATATACATTTGTCCGTCTCTGTCCACAGTCGGAGGTCTTGCCAAACTCTAAGAAATCTGAGATCTTTGAGTTTCACTTCTGTGACTTTGAACACAGTGAACTGGATCTGGTGAAATGCGGCATCAAGATGTACTACGAACTCAAAGTGGTGGACAAGTTTCACATTCCCAGAGAGGTGGGTAGTTTGTTAATGAGTTAATTTGTTAGTTAGAAAGCATGATGATATTTTTCAGAATTTTGCAAATTGAATTTCAGTGCTCTATAAAGAAGAGCTTCAATTTCAAAAGTGGTGTCATACGTTTGCAATGCATTAAACTGACGCTTTGACAAAAATAGATTTAAAATGCTCCGTAAATGCTCCGTATTTAGACCAACTTTTGTAGAGCAATGGGATAACTCAACAATTCTATGTATGATGCAAGACTGCTGTTATTAAGGACGGCCTTCCACACCAGCAATCTGTGAAAACAAGACTAGAAGAAAAGGAGCCATCACTGTACTGCTTTTATTGTGACACAGAGAGCTCAAAACTATAACTGTCAATCTGCAATGCCTTACATAAGACAGAACCTTTTATAACCTTAGTCTGTTTAATCACTGCAGAGTTATTAACAGAAATTTGTTGAATAATCATGATATGATTCAGCTGAAAGTCTGAGGATACAGTGAGAGAAGTGAAAATTGTTGGTCCTGGCTGTTAAGCTTCTCTGGTTATTGGGAAGTTAGGTTTTGAAGCTTACATGCAATATCAAGCCACACATACAGATGGATGTTCTCTTCTCTCTAAAACTAAAGCATGTGTGTCTGTTAGCCTGTAGTCATTAGCAGTGGCTAATATTTAAGAAGGTGCAGCTATTTGTATGTTTTAAAGATGGTATAGAAAAACTATATAGCAGACGTATTCAGTTAAACTTTGCAGTGGTGGTTGTTTTTTTACTATCATGTAAACAGAAGTTAAAAGTAGAAAACTGTGTTCTGCAGGCCCTGGTGAGGTTCATGTATTCGCTCAGCAAAGGCTACAGAAAGATCACCTACCACAACTGGAGACATGGATTCAACGTCGGACAGACCATGTTCACCCTGCTGATGGTGAGATAAAATGACTCACTCGTCCCCCCCCCCCTCTATCCTTCCATCTCCCACCTTTCCCTAAGTACTCATCAATCCCTCACCTACTGCTCTCAATCTTGCCCCCCTCATCCAATCAACCCACTCTTCTCCTCCTCCCTATTTCCTCATATTTCATCTTTCCTGTTCCTCCTCTCTCTGATTCAAAGTAATAAACATTCTTTCTCCTCCCCTTTCAATCCTTGTAACGTCATCTGGGATGTACCGTATATATGATGATGCTTGTGGGCGTGTGTATGTATGTGTTTGCACATAAACAAGCGATAATGAAGTGTCTGTAAATGAAAAGTGAGCAATTGTTGCCTGAAGTATTCATTAATAAGAAAGCCAGTGAGTGTCATATACATGCAACCAGAAAACCGGTGAACCTGTGCGTGCACTTCTTGCATTTTTAACTAGTGTAACTAGTAACTATTTTAAGACTAGTTCACACCACCCAATTTTTAGCCCGATTTGTCGGTCGGAGAGCTCGGTGACCACCAGGCTGTGATCGGTGTTAAATCAGTGGTTGATCTGTGTTCGCCAGTCGTTATGTGTGAACTACACAAGGAAGCATAAAAACCACTCCCCGACACATCACTGGCACATTGCCGATGTCAACCAGATATCTACCACGCCAAATATCTGGAGGAGTCGGCCGACTCGACATCCACACACATCCAGCCAATGAGAGCAGGCAGCTACTTTTTCACTGCAAAACACTTTTCACTCCCCTCCAGCTCTCTCTGTAGCTCAGACAATCCCTGCTACCTACGTGTGCTAATCCATTCTTTCACCCATATTTTCTGTCTTTATAATTGCTATCTTTATAATAACAAAAGTTTCGCGTCATTTCCCGTTTCACATTTCACATGTGTTTTCTTGACAAAACGTGGTTTGGAGACCAGCGTCGAGTTCTCTTGTAGTATGTCACCCCCTGTCACTGATCAGTCACGTAGTGTGAACGCCACAGCGACTTGAAGTCGTAAGTTGTGTAGTGTGAACAGCATGGCCATCGGCCGATGCTGAAAGTCGTATAGTCTGCACGAGTCTTTACTGTATCTTCTCTCATGCTCTCTTGCTTTCTCTTTTTGATTTGTTTATGTTTTGTTTTCTTAGACAGGTGATCTGAAGCGTTACTATACAGACCTGGAGTGTATGGCCATGGTGACCGCTGGCTTCTGCCACGATATTGACCACAGAGGAACAAACAACCTCTACCAGATGAAGTAATTGCTACCAGGGAGTGGAAAGGGGGAAGTGGGATTGGATTAATTTGTATTTTTAAAGAAGCTAGTGATTTTAGTGAGTTGATTGTCCTTTGTGAATTGGCCTATGATTAACTCAACTTCACTTTACACCAATAATTTATTTATACATTTCTTTGTATTTACATGATTTATATATATGTGGTTGTTTCTGAAAAACAGTTCATTTATCTTCTGTGTTTATCTTTTAGGCGTTTTTTTTTTTACAATTACAAATATTAGTCAGTCTGTGAACGCTGAGGCTGTTACAATTATCGACTTACCGGTATACATACATAACAGTTGCTAAGGCTAAAAGAGACCAGCTAAGTAACAAGTAGTATAAACAAAGAGCCTACACAATACAATACATGTATTCAGTAGTAGCTCGCAAGTGAGCATCTTTTGGTTGTGAGAGCAGTCACTAGTCATACACTGTAATGCAGCCTCATAAGAAGACTGGCATTGCCCATACAAGTTAAACAGCTAATCTAAGCAGATAGCGAGTAGAGATACATTAAAATTTGGTTTTATGTATTACTCACTGCTACCATGACCCAATTTATTTCTGCCATTTTGGAAGTCTGACTGTTTGGATGTTCTGAGACTGTTTAATTGACTGTGACAGCAGCCACTCCTCCTCTGTACAGACAAGCTGACCTCAGCTCTTTAGGTGAAGGTAACGTCAAACACTGAGAACATCAATGAGCCTATATTGACCAGATACACCTCCTGCTGCTCTGCTCCACCTGCTGATGGATGAGCTAATGAGAGCCGCCATTAGCCGCGGACACAGCAGGCCAGGCCCACCCTGGGTTTAACATGCATGATTTATCATAGTGTAACCTCCCAACATGCTGTGTGTGTGTGTGTGTGTGTTTTGTTTCCAGGTCTGGTAATCCTCTGGCAAAGCTTCACGGCTCCTCCATCTTGGAAAGACACCATCTGGAGTTTGGCAAGACTCTGCTGAGAGATGAAGTATGCTGCAGTACACACACACACACACACACACACACACACATACATGCATACAGGGGTGGACACATTAACCCCTGGACAAATGTACAATGTAAAGCAATGCAACAGTCCTGCAATAATTATAAAGAGCTAGCCTCTCTTCATCTAGTGTGAAAAAAAAATTTTCCCCACCATTTAGCAATGTTTCCCACAAGTCTTTGCCTTGCTTATAGAAGCTGCAGCTGCCAATCAGGGCTTATCCCCACCCCTGCATGCTCCCCTGTTCTTTCTTAAGCTACCTGGTGTTCATGTCGAGACTTTTTGACTTTCTCTTGCGTTTCAGAGTTTGAACATTTATCAGAATCTGAACCGCCGTCAGCACGACACAGTCATCCATCTCATGGACATTGCCATTATTGCCACTGACCTGGCTCTCTACTTCAAGTCAGTACAAAAGCATACAAATACATAAAAACATGAATTGCTCAAACAAATTGTAATCCCATCTGTCCAATTGTTGATTGGCACATTTAATAGTTATTTCATATTGTTTATTGCCATTGCATAAGTTAAATGAAAATATAAACATTGACTTCATAATTTGATTTTGAAAAGACAATAATTCATTAATTTAATAAAATTAACTACAGAAAAAGTAGATTACAGACTGTAATGGATTAAATAAGGATATTCTGATGTGTTGAAAAGGATCAAAACAGAATGACACATAATACATGTTCATACCTTTTTTATTATTAGAAACACCTCTGGTCATTTGTACAGTAACCAATACGGCAATATCAAGTGAAGGATGCACATATTTAGGAAACTGTATCACCAATGTCTTGTACAGCACATGAGATAAAGATGGATAAAACTACCAGGTATTGGAGCTGTGTGTTGTTTCTGTGCAGGAAGAGGACAATGTTCCAGAAGATTGTGGACCAGTCCAAGACCTATGAGAACTGGAATGACTGGACCAAGTACATGATGCTGGAGACCACACGCAAAGAGATTGTCATGTAAGCACAAACACATACACAACGGCACGTACCAACACATATATACAGACATAAAGATCTGAGTCATGTGTTGTGTTTCCAGGGCCATGATGATGACTGCTTGTGACCTGTCTGCCATCGCCAAACCGTGGGAGATTCAAAGCAAGGTACACACCTGCCTCACTAACACCCTGCCGTTCACAATAATAGGACACACACTCATACACAGGCACCAGGAGAGGCTCTTAGAGGGGGAACCAATGATAAAGTAGACAGAGAATGACATTTTGTCAGCACTGCCATTTCTCTCAGTGGCATTCAGCAGTGAGTCCTGACGGCCTCATGCATCAAAAGGAACTTGGTGCTTTTCATTCCCCTCATCACCACCTGGCAGGCTCAGCATTTTATTTCAGTTAACTATGTAATATACACATTTCTATCGAGCCTGCACACACAGGCATATCAATATGAACAGGACGCATCTCTGGCTGGACGACAGCCGCTGCTGGAGGGTAATTCTTTACCTTATTTGTCTGCAATTTACTGGAAAACATATACTCTTTTCAGTAACACCTGCTTCATATTCTTATACACACACACAGGCAGAGATTCATAGCGACTGCATCAACATAGAACCCATTATAAAATCAGTCATGGTAATTTAAAGCAAAGCTAGTTGAGTGCTTGTGAAATGTTTGATGCAACATTTGTTGACAGAAAAACTAAAGATAATAATCTGTTGTGTGTCTTAGGTAGTGGTTGGGAACCCCAAATGACTTGCCAAATAAATCAGAAGATTTGGGTGATGATTAAGAAAATAAGAAGGCGGGAAAATATGGATTTCTGCACACAATCTGTTCTGTTTGTCAGATTTTCTGCCAATCTGTGTGTAGTTGATCATTTTCTAAAAATCTCTAAAAATGATTCAAATTACTTGAGGGAAAAACATCACTGGTGGAACTGGTCTTATCCTTAGACCTTTAATCAACCTTTAATGAGGGGGGTCACAAGTAGACATAGCTTAATTTCAAGGGGTCACAAGCTAAAATGTTAGGAACCACTGATCTAGAAAATGAGAAGGTGCACTGTGCTGTTAGCATGCATCATTAAATGAGATATTTAACTTTTTTTCTCCGGTGCTTATTCCCTGGTTCATTCACTCCCTTTCTCAGAACAGAAAATATCTCACTTGGTTGAAGTAGTATATTGCTGTGAATGAGGAACAAACACTCTTAACAAAGTCACATCACTGCTTCAAACTTAAGACGTGCTTGACTTTCCCTTTAAAGATGGGGATATTATTGAGAACAAGGCTTTGACTTTTTCAAAAACCCAAGTTGAAACTAATTTGAACTAGCATTTAATTTCTTCAGATTCTTTTAAAACGCAAACCCCCATGTAGCCTAATCCAGGGTTTGACAGGGAATACAATTTGTCTATAGCAAACACAAGAAGAATTTATAAGCCTAAATGAATCATAATTAGTCTTTACCTTATGCTTATGCTTCGTTTGAAATCTTCCAAATTATCATCAAAGTCCAATGTATTAGTCTGTTCACCATGAGATAAAGTTGAGGCTTTTTTACGTCATTGTAATCATTTTTAATCATGGACAAGAGAGAGAATGACCACTGCTCCTCCTCACCCACCAACAGTATGTTGTAACAGGATTTTGTGTGGCACCAAGTGGGCTGTGGCCAGAAGGTCAGATTTGTTTCCCACAATTTATTTTCCCACATTGCTGGTAGTGGCCACTGTGTAGGCCGACCCATTTGCCCCAATTGCCAGTCTGAGCCTGGCTGGCTTCTTAGTCATCCAGGTCATAGTTATCCAAGGAAGGTTAAAAACAACTGGACTTGGTTGAACATACGTGTAGCTTCTCATCCAAGATGGGCCTTTGTTAAAAAACAGCCACAGAAGAAGAACAACACTACGGGGGGATGAGGAAAAGAAAACACAACAACATAGTGATTCCATACATGTTTGGAGTATCAGAGAAACTCAACAAACACCATATCCCTGTGTTTGGATAGCAGTCCACCAGAAAATTGCACACCCAATCACAAGAAAAGCAATCTAGTGTATGTTGTCCAATGCATTGAGGAATGCACAGACCTATATATTGGGGAAACAAAATAACCTCTGCACAAATGCATGACCCAACGAAAGAAGGGCCAACCTATATCTGAAGGATAAAGGCCCCTCTTCTGAGGACAAAAAAATATTTTAGACAGGCAGGAGAAATAATTTGAAAGAGGAGTCAAGGAATCCATTTACACCTGAGTGGAGAGACCATTTCTCAACAGGGAAGCGGGTTTGCAACAACACTTATTCCCCATATACAATGCTGTCCTTTCATCCCTTCCCAGGAGACTGAACAAACACTCACATTTGGCCTCAGGTGAGATGGTCGTTCAGATTCAGACTTGGTCTCCAACGACCATAACGGCTGTCATCACAACAGCCAGAAGCACAAATGACCCAATCGGTATCCATCAGCTTGACAAAAAAACCACAGAGGTTAAATAGCTGGGACTCCCTGCTGGTCAGTCAGAACTAAAGGTCCCTATTGGACGAGAGGTCTTTTAGTATCTTCAATTTTGAATTTGAACAGATTAAATATTTGAATATGTTTTCCCATATTCAAAGAATTTAAAGTGAAAACTGAGAGCCGAATTGTTCAGAAATGATTTTTTAGTTAAAGAAGCATAAACCTGGAACTCCTGATGTCTGGAAAAGCTGAAATATCAGCATTAAGTTAAGTATAAGTATATCAATTTGGGGTTAAGAATCATGCTTTTTTTTACAGTTTGATGTGGTGGATAGTATGTCAAGGGAGGTTGTGGGGTCAGCTATACTATCGTCTTCAATTTTTGTTGAAAGTTGGTGCATAAAATGAGTAATACCAATCTGCCACACAAATAGGATGATTTATCCATTTAAAAGCTTTCAGGCACTTTAATTCAACATAAATCCTTTTTACTCACCTTTTTAGTACATTTTTGAATTCAAACCACCACCCCTTTTCTAAAAAACCTCCGTCACCTCCAGGCTCCTATAATCAAAATGTCTGTATATTGCAATTGTATGTCAGAAGTACATGACATCAAACTGTAATGAATCTACTGTACTGACTCCACTATGAGAAACTATGCAAGCTGATATAGAACAAAACATCTCATCATATCAAACTGAAAGAATATCTAACCATATGAAGTGTTTTTGTATTTTTATTATATATTCATTGAAAAGAAAATAAGTTGTTTATGGCTTCAGAACAGTTCTGTTTCTTGTCCTGCATTGCACAACCACTGCAAATTATTCCACATTTTAATTTTTGGCAGTTTTTTATTTTTTTTCTGGTTCGATTTCACCTTTGTCTGCACCTGGTGAGTCAGCTGTACAACCCACACACAGAGTAAGGATATCTATCTACAGCACCATCTGCCCTCTTGCGAATTGTGCTCTAAAAGTAGTTTGATGACTAAGTCTTCCCTTTGGAGGTGAATTCCACCCTGAATACTGCAGTAACATATCGTAGCTGTCATATGATACCCTCCAAACTCCAGTTTTGGCAACTATCATGTACAGAGATACCTATAGATACCAGAATTTTTAATGGAACAAAAGTGAATCTTTGAGCAAGATTAATCTGTTATAGCTCTACCTTGTGATATAAGTTGATAAGATGGTCGGATTCCTACATAAAACTCTTCTGAAGTATAGATGAATTCACACTGAGAGGTGAGAGAAGATAGATGACACTCTCTAAGATGTTATGGAAAGTCAAAAGCTTGAGCTGCTTTATTCTTGATATTCAAGGTTTTCTACTGTAAAATTTATGGCTGACTATGGCTGGCTTATTTTTCACATACACAGAATATCTGTGTACAGGCTGCACCAGCCTCATGGCAATTGTTCCTTCAAACTGACTTGATGACTAACTCTTTCTAAAATGAGGTTTCTACCCTGAATACAGAATTCACATATTATTCATCAGAACTCACGTTGCTCCGTTTAAGGTTTGTGAGGGCAGACAAAACAGGCTTTCATCTCATCAAGACACAAAGCCTGAAACCGCCACGTGAGCTGTGAATAAGATTCTCATATGTAGGACAAGCTTTATAGGATGATTTTAACATGGACAAGAAGATTTTCTGCTTGATAAAATGATACTAAAATTAGTCTCTTGGAAATCGTGTTCCAACAGCAGCTACTGAATATGACCGCTAGTGTCTTAAAGGAGAATTCCACCAGAATAGATTGTGCTGAAATTATTAGTCTTAATGAATTTGTCAGATCAGTTTTGATAATCAAGTAATCGTACTTGGACAGTTCGCTTCACAAAACAGGCAACTTAAAGATGACATCTTTTGCGCTGGGAACTTTTGATGTAGTAGCCCTATCATACAGACATATTACCTATAACACATATTTGAAAACCGCGATCCCTTAATTTTTCAAAAACATTATAAAGCAGCTTGGTTTTCAGCTCAACCATTACAAGGACCGAATGAAATAACAATGTGATGGTTTTTATTGTCTCTTTTTGTGAGACAAATTTTTTTTTGACAGACCTCTCAAAACTTTGTGGTTCACCCTCTAGGTGGCGCTGTCTGTAGCTGCAGAGTTCTGGGAGCAGGGAGACCTGGAGAGGACAGTCCTGGAGCAACAACCTATTGTAAGGACACGCTTGAGAAGAAGGTTTATAAGAAGGGAAGCAGTTGACATCCTCTCAGCAAGAACAATAAATCCCCTCTAGCTCTTGACCTCTGACCTTTAAAAAAAGAGGATTTCCCTTTGTAAATCAATAAAGCATAACAATTATTACTAGATGTGTTATGGCAGGAACTAGAAGAGTGTGATTTAAACTAAAGCATTTGTTTACCAAAATCTAAGGCAGATTTGCAATTATCTTACATATTCACATGGGATATGATGATTTCATATATGATTACTTACTACTTGATGAAATATATTTTTATTGCTGTGACATGAAAGACATGTCTCATTTTGATTTAAAATAGGATCAAATCCAAATACCCGTGCAGGCTGATCCGTGATCAATTTGATATTTCTTTAGGATTTTGTGTGGTAAAGTTAAGGCAGATTTTGGCCATGATTTTTTGTTGAAATATCCAAAAAACTAGCAGGTTTTAATGCCAATAATCTGAACAAATGTGAACATGATCCTATAGTTTGAACTAGCACACTAGTTAATAATGCAAAAAAACGTTAAATATGTGATTTTGTCTTCTGTCATTTTTCAGTGTTTGTTTTTCATATCTTTCCAGTTTCAACTTTTTATCAGTTTGTGCCAGTGAGCTACAGTTTGAGAGGAGGGGAAAGAGGATTTGGTGCAGGACATGGCTCTCCTCGGGGCTTCAATTTAGGATGGAGAGCAGCATTGGTACAATGAGAAAGGAGAACAAGAGACAGAAATGCAGTTTGAAGACAAAATGAAAAGACAGATTTAGTTCCCTGTAGCAGTGGTATTGAGCGATGTACAGGCCATTATGTGGAGCACTGATACAGAAAGAGCGGACATTGTAGCCCTAACCCAGCCGACCATGCCCTCCCCTGGCTCTCGCTCCTCCATACTGCAGTCGTGTCTCTCTCCCCTCGCTCTGTTTTATTCCCTTGTGTCCTTGAGACACTTGAAGTGTGAGAAGCACCATCCCACACTCTCACCTCACAGTGCTCTGAATTTAATAGCATCTGTGTCAGCAGGGAAAACTTTTCATTTTGTATCAGTTTGTATTGTCCCAGCAGTCGATCTGTGACTCACTGTGGTCTGACAAGAGCAAAAAAAAGACTTTAAAGAGGCTGCAACACTTTATCAGGAAATGTAGGTGGGCAATTTTACCAGCAATTACAGCCAGCTTGAACTTTCTCTGACAGGTTTATACGGTCCACTGTTCTGACAGGTACACCAGAATGTGAATGTGGCTGCTAATGTGAATCTAATATAACTTTACATGTTCGTTCAAACTTTACATTTGGAAAGGACACACTGCAGAATTAGAGCCCTATTTTACAAGAATGCAGAGTTCACATTTTGTTCTCTATTTTTTTTAAACCAAATAAAGTGATGCTTGTCTATAAGGACTGCTCAATCTCTGCTGCTTTTAGGAGACTAGTTGGGCTTCAGGTTGTGATTAGATGCTAAACATTTATTTTGCACAAACTGGGTGAATCAACAGTTTCTCAGTTAGTTAGGATGGATCGCACAGCCTTTTTGTGATTGGTCTGTAGCTGATGAAAAAGGTATATGTTTACAAAAAAAGTCCCCTGTCTGTGAGAAAAGTTGTATACACTCTGTTAAAGCTATGATAACTTAATTTGTTTTATTGCAGTGATATATTTTGCAGCTGGTTACATAAAAAATCCCTGTGCTATTATTCCTGTAATATTTGAATCGTATACATTGTTTGAACACTTTTCTCTCTCTCTCTCTCTCTCTCTCTCTCCTTCAGCCTATGATGGACAGAAACAAAGCGGATGATCTGCCGAAGCTGCAGTGTGGTTTCATTGACTTCGTTTGCGCCTTCGTGTACAAGGTCATACGTTACACCACACAAACACACAAACAGACATGTCACCATGCCATGTTTGATCACAAGACCACCTTTTAAGGGTATCTGTCTTATCTTGGAATTTATGGCATTTTAACTTCATTCTTATTTAAGATGATTCAGGTGTGCAACTGGATTACCATAAATGACTTTGTTTGCACCATCTGAGACTCATTTGTTATTGTTAGTGTTATAGGTAGGACTTTCTATGAAGGTCATCGCTATAATGACTTATGCATCTATTTATAATAATAATAAATAATAATAATAATGCTTCCATAAGACATTATATCAATTGTTATAATCACTTACAAACATGCATTCGGCACTATAGCAAAGTTCATAGGCCATAATGACCTTTTGACCTTCTGTGCGCCAAGAATCTGACCATGTCCCATAACACATTATAACCATCGATTCTGCCTCGTTATAAATATAATTTAGTCACAATTTAGAATTTGTGATATAAAATGGAATAATAGCTTATAGTAACGTTCAAAGTTATATAGCATGTCTGTTTGTTTTAAGTAAATGTTAAAATGTCAATCCCTGTATAATATATTACAGGTGGAAATAATACCATATGAAGTAATTATAGGAACTTGTAACACTATTTGTTTTAGGGCTGGGCACGTTAACGCGTTAACGCATTAATTAATTAACGCCGACAATTATTTTATCGCACGTTAACACAGTTTTTATTTTATTATTATAAGTTTGAAAGTCCGTTGCTCACTGGCTCTGAATACACATACAGTCAAACCATGGGCCACAGGAGGGGCGGGATGTTGATCACCCGTGATCCGTTATCACGGCAGCAGGTGAGCCGCCTGCTTGTTAATGACGCAATCAAACAACTCAAACAGTCGAAACCAACGTCTGCACCCTGTGTTCAATGTTGCTTTACCGTTACCTGGTCTGTGCTTGTAAAATATCCACCGCGACTTGTAACATCATTTCAAGTTTTTAACCGAATGAAGTCTGTGCGAGTGAACACACGCACCAACCCCGCTACACAACACAACCCCCCATGCCATCGTCCATCCCGATGTTTCAATGTAGTTTTGTAGACATTGTCCCAACACTACTGAACAGACCGTTCCCCTTCGAGGGAACTCGAACTGCGTCGGTGACGACACTATGGGAACGCCTCTGGGCGTGGCAGGGCTGAAATCATGAATGAAACTACTCCAATCCTATTGGCGTTGCTAGAACAGTAGCGTGTGACGCCGTAACTGGAGGCGTATATAAGCACGCTGGAACACCGGACACATTAGCTTTTTTCTATTCAGCAGGCACTCTGGCATGTTTGAGACTACAAAGAAGTACGACCACAAGAGGAAGTTTTCTTACCTGGAAGGAAGTCTGGCAGAGGAGATGGCTGGTGAGCAGTTCAGGCAGTGTGTTTCCCATGCCCGCACTACATCACGGCTGGGGACACTCATGCCCTGTGTGTGTCTTGTCTGGGGATACCACATGCCCAGGCAGCTCTTGAGGGCGCTGCTTGGGGCCATTGTGAGGCCCTGCCCCTGAGGGTGCTGAGGTCCCGTGCGGCTCTCTTTTCCGAAGACGGTCGGATGCGCACTCCCCGTGGCTCGGGCCCGGTGGTCGCTGAGGTGGCACGGTGGCTTCGGTAATGGGGCTCCCAGCGCGACATCTCCGAGGGCATCGGGACTGCCGAGGCTTTTTCCCGTTCCTCGTCTGCTGGCTCCGACTCCCCTCTTCCCCGTTCGGGAGCCCGCTTCTGGGCTTCTCCCGCTCGAGGTGTGAGCCCGGAGAGGCCGCGGCTGTCTGGCTCTGAGGAGCTCGATGTGCTCTGCATTATGGAGGAGGAAGACTTCCGGGAGCCGGAGCAACGTCATCAGTCAGCGCCCAGCTATGACGAGCTCTTGGAGGTGGTGACACGGGCAGTGGGCAAGCTCCAGCTCGATTGTGCCAAGACACACATGCTGTGAGTAAGCTGGATGAGCGCTTCCTCCACACCGGTCTCTACCTTTTTTCCCGGATTTGCATGACGAGTTGTGCAAATCCTGGGGCGAGCCCTTCTCAGCACGTCGGACTACTCCCCCGCTCCGGATTTACAGCGACGTCACAGGGGTTAAGGGTTTCGGCTGTGGGACAATGCCCCGGGTTGAGGATGCTTTGGCCAGCTATCTCTCACCCAGTCTTGCGTTGTCCCTTAAAGAGCTGGCGCTGCCCACCACGCCATGTCGCGTGACATCTGCTCTGGTGGGCAAGGCGTACATGGCGGCAGGCCGGGCTGGTGCAAGCCTGCACACGATGGCAGTGGCGTACCAGTATCGTGTTCTTCCATTTGGCCTACCACTCTCCCCTCGCACGTTCATCAAGTGCATGGATGCAGCTCTTGCCCTGATGAGGCTCCAGGGCATCCGCATACTGAACTACATCGACTCATTTTGGCTCAGTCTCGAGAGTTAGCGGTTCGGCATCGAGATGTCGTCCTCGCCCACCTTCAGCGTTTGGGGCTGCGGCTCAACACAAAGAACAGCGTGCTGACGCCCGCCCAACGGACTACGTTCCTAGGGGTGGTGTGGGACTCGACGACGATGCGGGCCCACCTGTCGCCTGCACGCGTCGGGTCCATATTGTCCTCGGTGACCAGAGTGAAGCTAGGCCGCACCATCACTGTGAAACACTTTCAGAGGGTGCTGGGTCTCATGGCGGCAGTGTCTAACGTAATCCCGTCTGGCCTGCTGCACATGAGAGCCCTGCAGTGGTGGTTAAAATCCAAGGGATTCTCCCCGAGGGGAAATCCGTTCCGTCTGATATGGGTTACGAGCAGGTGCCTTTGTTCCCTGTCAGTATGGATGAAACCTTGGTTCCTGTCCCAAGGTCCCGTGTTGGGAGCGCCATGTCGCCGGACAATTATTTCAACAGACGCCTCACTCACGGGGTGGGGCGCGGTCATGGACGGCTGCTTTGCGAGAGGCTCCTGGCAGGAGCAACATTCATTTCATCATTTCTCTCTAAATTGCCTGGAAATGTTGGCGGTTTTCAGAGCTCTGAGAAGTTTTCTGAACCCGCACTCCACGGTCGCCACGTCCTTGTTAGGACCGACAACATGGCAGTGGTGGCCTATTTGAATCACCAGGGGGTCTGCGCTGGAGTTTGCCCCGGGGAGGGTCAGAGCCATCCTGTACCCCTGTCCGGGCTATGTCCCTAAGGTTCCGTCTGTTTCATCCCCCACCTCATGTGGCAGCGGAGGACAGGAGACTTCATCTGCTCTGCCCTGTCAGAGCGCTGAGTATTTACACTCTGAGGTCCTCGAGAAGGGGAACAAGACACTGCTTCGGTCCGCCACACCTCCCCCGCCTGGAGTGCCTTGCTTCATAGCAAGGAGCTAATGTGTCCGGTGTGCCGCCGTGCTTATATACGCCTCCAGTTACGCCATCACACGCTACCATTCTAGGAATGCCAATAGGATTGGCGTAGTTTCATTCATGATTCCAGCCCTGCCCAGAGGCGTTCCCATAGTGTCGTCACCGACGCAGTGTCAACCCAAGACGTTTCTGCTGCTCCCTGATAAAAGATACCTGATGCTGATACCTGTTCAAAAAAAAACAAGAAAACTGGACTCTGATGGTAACTTGTTTTAACAAGCTAGATAAAAGGTAATGCCCTGGCAGTAGCAAATAGCTTTGGTTTAATATTTGATTTGATTACATGTTAATGATTAAGTTGAGATTTACAAGAAATATTTTATTGCTACTGTGTAAAGGGAATACTGCTGGTAAAAAGCACCTTATTTGTTTAAAGTATTTGCAAACCATATGTTATTACACTTTTGTGTATATAGCAGTACATTTAAATTAAAATTGCGCAATACACTACTTTAGAATTCATTATTCAATTTTATGCGTAACAATATGATTAATCGCAAGAAAATCATGCGATTAATCGCAATAAAAAATGTAATCGTTGTCCAGCACTAATTTGTTTGCTTTAAGTAAAGTGACATTTTGCACAGGAAAAAGTTTTTATTATTAATGTTTCTTCACTTTATGAACAACCTGTATGAATTTTGGACATTTTGCAGTTTAGCACAAAAACACAATTTAATTACATCAAGGACACTCATTCTCAGGATGGTGAGAGATCGCTCAAGAGAAGACCTGTTGCCAACCATATAACATCATGTAAGAAGAGGCTCAGATGTTGTCACAGATGAATGGCGAGCCTATGGACAGGCCCTAACAGATGCAGTGGACAATTGGAGACATCGTGGCAACTGCTCCACAAAACTTTTTAAATTTAAAAGGCACATTTAATTGAATGGGAATACTGGTTGGGCAGTAGGGGTGAGAATCTCTTGGCACCTCACGATTCGATTTGATTACAATTCAGAGGGCGGCGATCCATCTTGATGCATCTTTTTTTCTATGTTATTTATGCATAATTACTAAGCATTTAATGTGCACATTAAAATCCAAATGAAACGTCTCCTCAGTTGCTTAAAAGGACTACTTTACATCCCTAATTTACTTAACTAGCTTCAGCTCCTCCGTGGTCACCAGCATCCATCCTTTAACAACCATTTATTATATGCATAAGTCACTATAGCGATGACCTTCATAGAAAGTGTTACAGTGTTATATTTATATGATTTAATAAATATTAACTGGATCTAAAAGCTGTATTGATTTGATGTGATTTGATTTGTGTTGACTTGTCCTCCTCTCCTGCTCCACCAGGAGTTCAGTCGTTTCCATGTGGAAATCACCCCCATGCTGGACCGCCTGATGAACAACAGGAAGGAGTGGAACGCCCTGAAAGAGGTGCATGAGGCCAAACTGGCTGCCCTCGAGGAGGCCAAGAAAGCCAAGGAGGAGGAAGCTCAGAAAGCTGCAGCAGCCAAACAAGGTAGGAGGCTCTCAGACATGTGAGCACACACAAACATTACATTTCTCTATTTCATGTGGGATGTAAATGCCTCTGAGCCTAAACGGTCCATGTGCTAATTTTGAGGTACATTCGAGTGAGATTTTAAACATATCCATCTGGAAAAACTGTAAAAAAAAAAAAATTTTATGCACTTTTCATGGTGTCACTTTAAATGATAAAATAACTTTCTCTCTGTTTTCCTTCCTTCCTTCCTTCCTTCCTTCCTTCCTTCCTTCCTTCCTTCCTCCTGCAGCGGAAGCAGCCCAGTCAAAGACCTGTATTCTCAGCTAGAGATGCTACAACAGTACTAGGTTGCTTGCTACATGGTTGTGGTCCAGTGCTAGGTTTCGTGAAAGATCCTTTTTTTTTTTTTGGTGTTATTTTTGAGATCTCACCTGAAAGATCCAGTTTACGGAGAACACGTCTCTCACTTCAGAATACCTGTTACAAATGGCTATATTTAATGTATGTCTTTATATCTTTTATCTGTCCTGCTTTCCTTCTGTGCTGCTTCTTCTTTTTAATCTTTTGATATCGTATTACTCAATACATGCACTTGGCTTCATGGTTTGTTCAGGTGTTTGTGGGAAGCTCCCATCATCTTTGAGTCAGCTACCAAAAGCATTACATGCAGCAAGCTACTTATGTAATCCTAAAGTCAAACCTGTCAGACCAACAATAAGGAAACATGGACCTTCTCATTGGGAAGCTTCTTGCATTGAAAATGTTCCTGCTCACATTGCAGTGTTGAATGTCAGCTACCTACAGGCCTTTTGATTACACCAACATGAAGACTTTCCACAAAAATCACTATTTATATTATGTTTGTAGTGACTGTATAAATAGTGTCTCTTTTAAATTGATGTCTAATGCTATACTGGTGTTAACTGAAACTATCAGCTGCCCAAACCATCAGTTTGTTCCTTTTTAAGAGTCGAATGAAAGTGTGGCTGGTGGCTTATCCGCAGATGGAATCCAGATCCAAACTTTAATCCACGCCAAATTTTTAAACTTGTCTCGAGATTAAACTTAATACATTTGGGTCAGCTGGAAAATTCAATGCACGTGCTCTAAGATTAGTATTGCTATAAGTATTTACTGTGGTAAAACAAACAAAAACAAAATGGATTTGGTTGAACTTGTGTTGGGTCACAGGACAGGAATAGTAATGTGGATCCTTTGTGATGCAGTTTTATGAACACAGACGGGTAAACAGCTCTGTCTAAAAACATTCCACACCGGACATGTCGTATTGCATGTGAATCAAATGTCAACAATAGTATTTTAATAATTTTTGGCTCAGGTCTTGTGGCATTAGCTGTGTTGACACTTTAGTATCAGCTTGTTTTTCCACATGCTGTCAAATGATCTGAATATATAACTTTGTAATGCAAATCAACATGAAACATAAGTAGATGTATGCTGCGAAATACATGTCTATTGTCTCGTTCCGTCATTGTTTGGTTACAGACAGTTCGTTTTCTGCTCTGCAGCATTTGTTTTACTGTGTACTTAGATTTTATTTAAGATAATATGTTGATTTCAGCCTTTTTAGCATTATATACAGTACCATCTTTCCCATGCTATTCAGTGTAAAAAGCTGGTAAATACTTGTGCTGAAAACTAAAGCGAATCAATATAGGCAAAACTGTGTTTCTGTTGACTAATTTCTCACACTCAACACAAAATGTATGTTGTGTGTACAGTATATCCAATATAAAAAATAGTGTCTCCTGAACTATTTCACTTTATGTGGAATGAATCTAGAATATATGAAAGTTTCACTTGGCTGGCCAAGTTGTGCCAAAATGTATTTCCTCATAAATTTCAAGGCATGTAAAAGAAATAATCGAATTCTAATTATCTTCATCTCAAACCACAAATGTTTATTTGTGCAACAAGAAGGTTATCAGGCTTTTACATCTTTCTATGGTTTATTTATTATCCTTATTTCCCCAATTAATTTGCTTGGAAAAACAACCCAGTAAGCACTGATTTACAAAGGAGTTCTAGGTTAGAACTGGTTGGCTAGTCAGGTTGTAATTAATATATTTCAACATGTACTGTAGTTACTGCCTGCATTATGCTGGCTTAATGCTGTTGTAACAAAACATAACTTTTGTTACCACATTTAGCTCAATTTGAATTTATATCCTTAGACATCGTTCAACCTTCAAATAACAAACTACCTCAGATGCATGGAGCAGCTGTAGAAAAGTTGTTGCAAACCTGTTGTCTTTTTCACTGTTAAACTTGTAGATGTTTGAGAAGTAATCATCTGGAAACTGGCCGAATAAGAGTAACTAGATATTTGTGTGGATGAGAGTGAATTGTCTGCAGCACGGATGCAGGATTGCTGCAGGAAGCATACATAAAAGACAACTTACACAACAGCTGACAATGTATAAATATCTGCCAGCTGCATTATTCATTTGCATGTGTTTGTGTTTGTACACATTAGCTAATTTTCCCACCTAGAGCTAGACATAATACTGTTACAAAACACAATATGACTCCAGTGTGGGATAATGAAAACTGATCGCTACTGGAGCCACAGCAGGGAGCAGGACACGAGCTAAATTCATCATTGCCCATCCCACCCTCCTTCACACGATGTAGTAATTTAGCATAGATACATAATCTAAGTATGTCGTCACTGATGTATGACGTAAGTCCTCATGACGTAAGGGCATGCTGGGAGCTCAAAGGATTGCCGTATATGGTGGTGATGATCAGCGGAGCTTGCAAAGCTTGGCTCTGACGCAGGGACAACCCGTGACTGCAGAGAGAGAGGGGGAGAGTAGCAGCTGCAGAACAACCAGTGAGCCTACAGAAAGGGAGCTTTCTAGCAGCGATCGGGGGCAGTCGTGACTGCAGAGCTGTCAGCCTGCAAGCCACAGCCGAGAGAGCCATGCAGGACTATTTATAGGACGACTAGGCCGGCTGCAGTTTCTAAGCAAAAGAGTTTGCTCAGGCTTTCGTGCCCCAGCAATGCATTCTCATCAGCATTTTATAATGCATACTTGTATGTATTATATTTAGCCAAAGCTCTGATCACACTAGAGTAACCTGAAATTCACCAGTGTTGTGTGTGTGTGCAGCACTCAGACCACAGATATAATCAGGGCAAATAAGTTTAGGATATTTTGTATAATCTTATTCCACACAGTTTAACAGTATTGTATATATTTACCATACATATTAACTTGTTCCAACTCGGTGATAAAATGTTTACACTGCATTTATTGATTTTTTATTTTTTATGGCTGCACCATTCCATCATTCTAGCTGTATTTTGCATCATTTTAGACACATTTAATCATCCAGATATTTATGATACATTTGGAAACCTTTGGATCTCCACTCGAATTTCAAAGAAAGTCATATGGGCCACTGTACATTGATCAGTTTAAGAAAATGTAAATTAACATAATTCATCAGAGAAAGTTTTATCTCGGTAAATGTTATCAACAGCTAAATGTTAGATTATTCAATAATAATGACCTGATACAAAGAAAAGCCATTTAAACATTTTAAAGCTGTATTTAACAAATGTGTGGCATTTCTACTAAGCAAATTACTAAAAGGTTAATTGATTGTTAAAATCATTATCAATAAAATTTCTATAGATCAACTAATCACTACAGCAGTCAATACTGTATAACAACTTAACTGACAACTGAGTCTTAAAGAGAATACAAGCACCAAGAACAGTGTGAAATAATAATGATGATAATAATAATTTGAATTTCTCATTTTTCAAAGAAAAAAGTGTATTAAAGTTACACAAACTGTGAGAGATGTTCTGTGATCTCAGGAGGATGCAGTGATGTGACCTTTTTCTTCATGTCTTTTCTCACCTTTCTTTTATACTTGCAGAAATCATTTCAGGCACAGCAGGTGTGGTGTATGTGGCTGCTTGGATCAACAAGTCTCATGAGGACAGTTAAGAGGCTTATCCAGCAACTCGGGCAATATGCAGGATCTGTGCAGAAGCCAACCATATCACAAACTGCAACACATTGAATTTGCATGCATCTGTTTGGTGATATAGCACCAAATACTACTGTACTGTGAAGCCATTCTCCATAGATCAAAATCCTCTGCGGTGTCAGGATATACAGGAAATACATTATATTTAACCTAAATTCAGCCATGTTGAAGTTAAATATCTTTTTGTGGGGCCAAGATAGCCATTAAAGCAACATTGTGTAAGATGTGTTTTTTTGGGGGGCGAGTGTAAATAAGCACAATCGTAAATAAGGACAGCTGTACATGTGCATTTGTTATGATTACATTACCATCAAAAACTGGCAAGTTGCCAACTTTGCTAACACAGCCACACAGTGTCCTGTAGCTTGCTCATCACTTTTTCTCGTCCTTCCTCCAATGTCGTCTTCGGTCTCTTCGCAGCCCGTGTCATGATATCCATACTAAGAATACTGAGCTTCATCCAAAGAACTTACATTGTACATTATATACTTTTTGCTTGTTCTTATAGCTTGCTTGTTGAAGAGTCGTGTTGGTTCTGTAAACCATTATGCCGTTGTCAATATAAATGTCCTGTGTGGGATTCCAATGTTACGTAGCGCAGTAGTTAACGCAGTAGTTAGCACAGTGAGCCTCCATTCATCCTATTACAATTCAGTGTATCATCAAAATGATTATGAAGCTGTTATTTTAAATAGAAATACTATGTAATGCTGCTTTAATATAGCACACACACACAACTGTAAAATTAAAACATCAGTAAGGCAGAACAATGAATAACATAAAAATAAAGCCAAAACTTGTAATTTATTCTAGCTTTAGGTAAAAAATTAAGTTAAGGCTAGGCAGAGGTCTTGGGTTATATGCTCTCATTTTCTGCAAGTGTGTCACACTGACATCCACTGAATGTATCGGTTATCAGTGTGTCCTTTTGACTTTATACTGTTCTCTGCAGTGTTTGCTCTCTGAGCTCAGTGTCCCAAGCCACTCACTGTGGCAGATATGAACCTCATTTGTAAAGTGAATTTATCGCAGTTCAATTTAATAAAAGATAAAACTTACCTTCAGAACAGACAGATTATTGTCTGGATCTTCCAGACATCTGTAGCTCTGTATTTTTCATTTTACTTCTTTCTTCTTTACTTAATTTCACTTGCTTTCTGTTCATAGTAGAATTGTACAAACTATCGTGGCCTCTTTTTGTCAGCATTGTTGAGGATGCTGTCATCTTGTTTGAGTAACCTTTATTGTACTTTTTTTATTGGACAAAGTTGACTGGAGGATCCATTCTCGCATTCAGTGTAAGCTCAGCATTGTGGCTGGTCAAATGATCCATACAATAGTATCATAAAAGTTGCAGGTTCTGGATGTACAGAAAGACAGGTTAAAAGTGATGAGATGCATTTTTTCACCAAAGTTTCAGGGACAAATTAACCATCAGTGTCTGAGATATGTGCATGCATTACAATGTAAGAGGGAAAGAAGAAAGGGATGGCTAAAACAAATAAGCAAACAAATGTGCCCCAATCCAGCACAGGCTGATCAGTGTAACTTTGAAAATGTCATAAATGTATCCACAATGTGATGTACTAGAATGGATAAGCAAATCTTTTTCACTCAACATGGTGGGTGTGAGGGACGGGAGTGTCTTGTCCTATGTCCCTGTCAGAATTAAGCTGAAGCTCATGGGGACGACATAGTGTGTCTAATAACTCTGCACTGCAGAGCAGCTCTGTTTGCTGCAGTCACGACTGGCCCACAGAAACAACCAAACAGAGGACAGCAGGACATGAATGGCTGACAGGATTTCTAATCGTCTGCTATTTCCTCTGGCTTTGGGCTTTACAATTAAACAACAGAAACAACAAAAAATTTTATTCTGTGGGAATTTAGATTGTTGGATGCGTTGCTACAAGCCTTTTGGTTGATTTATAACAAGTGAGAGCTGTGTTTGTATTCTCTGAAGTAAGTCAAGCGTATATTTAGTGAGCAGTGGGCTACGCTGAGGCTGTTCCTTGTCAATGATTCTTTTTTTTGGTATTCATGAACAAAATCTCTACCATTTTAGCCTAGGAGTGGAGGGTCTACACTTTGGTGCTCTCAGGGTTTTATCTCTGCTTTTTGCAAATGATGTAGTTCTGCTGGCTTCACCGAACAGTGACCCCAAGTGTACACTGTGTTAGTAGGTTGCCAAAATGGGAAGTGGTTGGAATAAGAGTCTGAGGCCATTGAACAGTGATTTGCCCCCTTCAGATTAGGAGTGAGTTGCTGCCCCAAATGAAAGTACACAAGTCGTGTTCAAAGTTGAGGGTAAGTTTGTTGTGTACAATTGCGTTGAACCGGACATTCATGGTGGAAGAAAGAAAGTTGTAGAATATGTGAAACTCAATAAACAAGCAGTTGTTTAGAGTAGTGGTTAAACTGATATGGGTTTTTCAATTGCCGATGCAGTTGAATGACTCCAAAACAAAGAAAAGTCATGTATAATTCCCTCTTTCCATGCAGAGCACAATCTAGTATACATGGTTATCTTAATAATAATAATAATAATAATAATCCTTATTTGTAGAGCACTTTTCAAAAACAAGTTACAAAGTGCTTTAACAAGTGTAAAGAATAATACAAAAAAGATAAGAGCATGAAAATTTAATATAAAATTAGTAAAATACAATAAAATAAAAGGGATAAAATAAAGTCAAATAAGATCGGGAATCTTAGCCACTAATGTGTTGTTTCTAGATGGAGTTTTTATTAATTAATTAAATAAACAGAAAAATACATTGGGTTATGCTGTAGATTTCGCATTATTCTCTACAGTATAACAATATACACTCACTGGCCACTTTATTAGGTACACCTTTTCAATTGCTTGTTAACACAAATAGCTAATGAGCCAAACACTTGACAGCAACAACTTGTTCAAATCGAGCATTCAGAATGGGGAAGAAAGGGAATTTAAGTGACTTTAAACGTGACATGTTTGTTGGTGCCAGACGGGCTGGCCTGTGTATTTCAGAAATTGCTGATCTACTGGGATTTTCATGCACAACCATCTCTTGGGTTTACAGAAAATGGTAAGAAAAAGAGAAAATATCCTGTGAGTGACAGTTGTGCGGAATAAAATGCTTTGTTGAGGTCAGAGCAGAATGGCCAGAGTGGTTTGAGATGAGAGAAAGGCAACACTAACTCCACATAACCACTTGTTGCGTACAAGGTATGCAGAATACCACTACACTTTGAAGCTTGAAGCAGATGGGCTATAGCAGCAGAAAACCACACCGTGTGCCACTCCTGTGGGCTAAGAACAGGAAACTGAGGCTACAATTCACACAGGCTCACCAAAATTGGAAAATAGAAGAATCGAGTTATTAGTTTATCTCAAAATGCCAGATATGGGCCCGATGAATTGGTCGTTCTATCAATAGTTTAGAGCTTTATTTTGAATTCTTACTACCAGAGGTGAAAAATTGTTAGATCATTTCCTGTAGTTTGGATCTGGGTGCAAATTCTTGATGCCACTATAGTCTGGTTCCAGACTATAATACACATATACAAACATGCGATAAGGAATAGTTTGAACAAACTAATGCGCAGATGAAGAACAGCCCAAATCAGTTCACAACATTCATTTTCTAACCTGGTATCCTTGTCTTGTTTGAGAAATTCTGCAATGATTGAGATTCTTTTAAGTCCCTGTTGAGGAGTAGAGGTGCAGAACTCCAGGAATTTGGACCATTTTTTGGACAGATTCAACTCATAGTTGGGGTCAAAGAGCTACTTATTTGGCTGGCTGCACAATCTCACATAGCTGACTTTTTATGGTTCTTTTTTCTATGCCCTGTCTTGCTATAATGCTGTAATCTGAGATCATATCTGTGTTAAACCTTCACCATCTAAAACATTTTGTTCACTATTATTTATATCCTTAGTCCTACCTTCTGCCCAAAGGGTCATTTTTCTCCATACCAGGTTTAATATCATTTAGATTCAGCCTGGTACATTTAAATTTACCCCTCCCCTCATAGCCTTGGGGATTTGTGAAACATAAATGTTTTCATGTGTTTTTACTGGTGGGGGAGTAGCAGTAGACCAGAGACCAACAGTACAGCAGTGCTCGTATAGTGATGTCCCATGCACAGGCATAACCAGTGCAATCACTGACATGTGAATCACAGTTTAGCCAGGCGGAAAATTGCCAGTGGCCTGTTAATAGGAAGCTGTTTAACCAGGGGAAGAGTGGAAAGAGGGTACCCCTTTCTCAAGCTGAACCTCTTCACAGCATGGATAGACTGGATGGATAGACAATTCTCTGTGCTCATGGTTGTGCGTGAAAATCCCAGTAGATAAGCAGTTTCTGAAATACTCAGACCAGCCCGTCTGGCTCCAACAACCATGCCACGTTCAAAGTCACTTAAATCCCCTTTCTTCCACATTCTGATGCCTGGTTTGAACTACAGCAAGTTGTCTTGACCACATCTACATGCCTAAATGCATTGTGTGTGTGTGTGTGTTTATACATATAAATACGCTTGACCATCTTCATCCAGGTAATTCATCACTTATAAAATAATTTAAAAAAAGGGTAAAGGGTACAAAAGCAGTGATTTAAAACAATATCCCAAAATATCCTGCTGTAGCCTATGCTTTCTTCTAATGTTTTGAAAATTTGGCACATTTTATGTGGATGTCTAATCAGTGTTGATGGTAAATGCGGTCCATTGAAGCAATAAATTACTCCGTGCTTGCTATATTGAGCGAGAAAGCAGAGTTTGCCAAGTAGTTCGTCCTACATCAAAATATGAGTGTAGAGGGTATTGTGGACGAGCATGTATTTTACAATGTTTTGGCTGACTTGGATATTCAGCCGTATTTATTTGAGCCATAGTATACAGCTGAAGAAATTCAGCAGAGAGGCTGAGGCTGCAGCCATGCAAGAGGATATGGCCATATCCCCCTCCCCCCGAACCTGAGCCATGACAGCAAAAAGCGTCTGGTGGTGCCTTTGCTCAAAATGCCCTCAGGTGCCAACAGAAACGGAATCATTCTGCTGTAATAAATTTCAGCATTAGCAGTTTTTGTTAGATGCGGTCACGATGGAATCCCAGAAAGACCCCGAGTGTGCTTTACCATGCATAAAATATTTGTGCGCAGGGGACCTTCTTCAGGATCTAGAAAATAAATTGGATAAGACAACCAGCAAATAAGCGGGCAGATGACCAGTGAGTGAGTATTTTTGTAACCTAGCACTATGTTTTTCGGCAAAAAAGTAGTTGGACTAATTTTGTAATACTGAGGGACAGTCAAGAGAAACTTTGCGTTAAGCTAGACAAGACAATAAGTAGTGGGTTGGATGCCGGAACCAGTTTTTTCATGTTGCTTCAACACTTACCTCATCATCAACACTCAACACTCATCATCGCTGAATTAAGGGGCGCCACTTAGCTCACCACTAGAGGGCACGCCCCATGTACAAAGGTGTTGTGTGTCGCCCCCTCTCTCTCCCAAGTTTCCTGTCTCTCTCTCAACTGTCCTGTCACAAAAAAGGCAAAAAAGCCCCCCTCAAAAAACATAAAAAATAAAAATATCTCTGAATTATATTATACTGTACAATAATCATGTGTATGTATGTGTGTGTGGGGGGGTGAAAGGTAATGATTTTGGGTAATATAAACAAAAGATGGTTTATGGTTCTTCACATCTTGCCAATACATATTTACTCAGAGGTGGAAAGTTACTGTCTGGCAAGTCTCCAAATAGACAAATTGTCAGTATTAGGGAAGGGAGACGTAAGTTTGCAGATCTGGAGGAGTCCCGAGAAAGTTTTATTTTTTTCCCAAAACATCGTAAACGATGCTGCAGTCTGTGAACGTGGAGAGACATTCTTGACAACAGTTAGGTTAAACAAAAGCTTTAAATTTTGATGATTTTCTTCCTCGTTCAAAAATCACCACATGCACTGAAAAAATGCTGTTCATTAGGATTTTATTTTTTGGAGGCAAATCAATGTATATATGTACTTTATACAGTATATGAGGAGCACATCTCTACAGTTTCATAATGTAAACAATCTCTGAAGAGAAATGTATTCAGTTTAAAAGGAAGCCATAGTCTTCTGTTTTAAACTATTTACATGAATTAAAATATAATTTATAACATCAGATACTTCCGCTTCTATGAAACTAGATTTTAACAATTCAAAAATACTGAAATGCCTTTGTCTCCACATTCTCAAGACATATGAAATCACACAAAAAGGAGAAAATAACACCATTTAAAGACATCCAAACTAAGTGGCATATAAATAAAAAAAGAAGAAACGCAAAATAAAACCAACATATGTAAAAATATAAAATCTCACTAGCTGTATTTACCTTTGTTTTACCAAAAACTAAGTTAAAAAAGAAAAAAAAATCATTTATGTGAATTGATAGTCATTAGATGTAAATAGACAATGAAATCAACAGTAATGAAAATCAACAAAAACAATGTATGCCCTTTGTCAAAATATTTCCTTCCACCAAAAAAAACACCCACTCACATTTAGCAGATTTTGACAGTTTGCAGTCCCTACTAAGTGCCTATTTGACATCACTGTTGCCATCAAGTTTGACAGATTAGCCATTAGTTTCTGTGTATTATACAACTGTTGATGTTGAAACCATTTTGCAGATCAAAGATAGAAGAGGAATCTGAAACCAGAATCAGGCCGGTATTGCAAGCACTCCTGTCCTGGCAGGGGCTAATTTGTTGGTGTAGCTCGGTGACAGATACATTGTTTGCTGAACTAAAGAAACAGTGAGCGACATAAAAACCAAGAAATGTTTTTAGTGGGCCATGGCATTGGAAACATGACCCCTATAAAACTGAATCTGACGCGGCCGTTGATAATGACACATTTTTCAGGAGCCGTCACACGCTCTTTATTGGTGAGGTTTTATTTTTTGGTCAACTTGCCTATCAAGTTTTATGGTTTTCTTGCCATTTTCCATTTTTCTGAAATGAAGAGTGGAAAGAAAGGTATTGCATTCTGACGAGGGTAATTCCCTTTGGAAGGTTTTTTTTTTAAACTTTTTTTTATTTGGATTTGTTGTCCATCGACCTAGGATCCTAGAAGTGGACAGCGGTATTATGTTGCAATGCATCAGTGTTCTCAAAACACTGAGGAGAATGGTCAACATCAAAGTTTTCTATAAGAAAGTATATAATCATCTAGATATCTACACAAACACACAAATATATATATTCATATATATGTATATACCTTTTTATAATATGGCTATTGAAAAACGTTTTAATTACGTCAGTAATTATTTAATAATAAACCACATTGGATTGGAAAGGAGTTGTAATAATAAAAGCTAGTGGTAGATTCTTCCCCCCCACCCACGATTGATTTTTAAGGCTTGCCATGATGAAAAAGGGGGTAGTTGCGATGTAACTCACCTCTAGAACAATGGGGGCACCCTCAGAGGAACAGTGACAGCCACTGTAGCAATCCCAAAACATGCTGCAAATAAGTGGAAATCTAAATTTTGAATTACATATAGAAACTGTATGCACTTCCTCCACGAAAAGGAAAACAAAGCTAAAGGCCAAACAGGAACTAGTTTTGAATAAAAAATATTTGCCATGTTTTAACTATTTAGGTTTGCTACCTAAAGCCTTTTTTGGTCATCAGTAAGAGAAACTATTGGGAAACTTTCCACATAGGTTTGAAGGCAAATTTCTTCTTCTTCTTCTTCTTCTCTTCGTTGAACTCCACCCCTTTCCCTCCCTCCAATGTAAAACTACTTCTTGTCATGTCCCCTTCGGGTGACGAAGAAATTTACATCTTCTGCATTTTTGTACATGCAGAATTGACAAATGTATCAAATCAGGCTGCCTTCATGCTTTATGCATTTGTCCTGCTTTAGTCTGCATAGTCTTTCAAACACAAAACACCTCCGCCTCTCAGACCATTATACCATTCTGTAACTTGTATTTAATTGTAATTGATTTAATCCAAATGCTTCCTTTTAGGGATGCAGCAATGAAACTGGGATAACTACAGTGTCCACATCATCTGTATCAACAAGTCTGAACATTAAACTAGGCCAAACCAGCAACCATTTTAAATTTTTTTGTTCTTTTCCTCCCTCCCACATTCAAAATGTGGTAATAACATAGATATAGCTTCCTTTCAATTAGAAGAAAATATTATGAAGATATTTCACTACTTGGGATGTTATTTGTGCAAGAGTATATTAGTACGATTTCTTTTGTATATGTGTTATGTGTTTACGACACAACTGACCACATTCTTCCTAGTTTGTTTTTAGGATTTTTTGTGTTTAACAGCAGTCTACATACAGTACAGTTGCCTTTTCAATCTGCAGCTCAAATATTGCCCATGTTGTAGTTCAACAACCAACCATACACTGTACATTATTAACTCAGTTTTCGGAAAGGCTGTCTTAAAGATAAGATTATTATGTATTGCATTTCAAATTGCTTTTTAAGAAACAAACCAAAAAAATAATAAAACACAGAAAAATTTGTAATTTCATAAACAGCAAATAAACCTTCTAGTGTGATAGTTATAAAGGGATGTTTTTTGTCTTTCTTTTACAACAGTGTTGGACTTTGTGTGAAGTCATTTCAACTTAATTTTTTCCCTTAATTTCCTCCCTGTACTGAACAAACAACTTATTGGAACAAAACCAACCTGATCGTCTCCTGTCTGATTAGCAATCAACTATGACCCGCCACCTTTAAAAAACACACACAATACATTTTATGTTTACAACGAGGCATAGTGCTATATACACATTTCATATTCATATATTATATTTTCTTTTTTTAATATGTAAACCAGCACATTCTCTCACTTTTTAGTAGTATACATACTAAGCACAAATACTCAGTTCAGTTGTTCGCAATTACTTTTGTAAATATTAAAGACCCCCCCCCTTTTTTTTTTTTTTTTTAAAGGTACCTTGTTTCTCAATCAGTATGTATATCACTAAATTGTTTTTGTTAGTTTTGGACATCAGTGAGCCTGGAGAAGGTGCGTCCCTCTAGGCCACTTTACTTGCTGTTATTTCTTTTGAATCACTGAATAAGGCGCCTTTGTACTTAGTGTGCGTTCCTAATAAAGTCAAAGGAGAATCGAGTGATGTAAACATTCAATTTTTTGTGTGTTACCAAGGAGTTGATTAGATAAAGAAAGGAAAAAGATGAGGAAAGAGGGATTATCTGTTTAAAAGCGGGGAATAACCAGGGTTTGGAGAAGACCTGGAAACAAGGCCTTGAATTCACGAGAGACAGAAAACGATAGAGTTAAAGTTAGAGAAAGAGGCGGGCTGCGTTCATTAAAATGCCTGGGACAGTTGCGGAGGAACAGGGAAATCAGGAGGAATGGCGTGTCCCTGAAGAAAACAACAAAACGAGGGCAGGGGGAGAAGATTGGGAATCTTCTTCTTCAACCAAGGAGCCACCGTTCAACCTCTCCAGCCCTCTCCTCGCCAACCTCCGAGCGTCAGCAGTGTCCGACTCAAACACGAGACAAAGACAAAACACTCAGTTACACAAGGACACAAGATCGAGACTCCAAAAGAACGGACCCGCTAAAAAACGTATTGAGGCCGGCAAAGGAAGGATTTAGAGAGAGACGGGGATTATTCCCCTCACAAGTGGCTTAGTGGTAGGAGTCATAGTATAAAAAAATCAAACGCAAACCCCCCAGGCTGCCCATACCCGCCCGTCAGCTGAGGAAACCCTCACACAGAGAACATTTCTGACAAAAAATTACACCAAGTGTGAGACATTTATAAGAGGGTAGGGGCCAGTAGAATGAGGAAATAAAAAGACAGGGGGAGCAGGGATGGATGGATGTGAGGTAGAGATGCTCAGCTGATGCAGTACCTCGCAGACGAGAAATCCAGATTCTCGGCCGAAACTTTTCATTACTTTCACGCCCATCCCTTGCTCCTTCCCTGGCTGTGTTGTAGGTGGCTGTGAGGTGCCACCGGATTGGCAGGCTTGGGCTCTCTCCCTTTTCATGGCGGGTGCTACTGGCTGCATCAGGAATGTAAATTAGGCGCTATCTGGACTGCAAGCCAAAATCGACTAAGCAAGTCTACCTTTTTAAAGCACCAAAAAGCTTCACAATCTTTGGGCAAGCAGAAATGGGGAAAACACGTTTACATTCAGATTATTGAATACATTCCATTTTAACCAACAGATTTGTCTACTTCTGTCAATAACAATGTTCCATGGGTGGATAATTGAGAGAAAATTTGTCTGTTTTGTTCTTTGAAACCCAACATCAAGCTACCCCCAAGGATTCCTGGACAATACAAGTAGTTGAATTTCATTTACAGTACTTTGCCCTGCAATGACTGATGGACTTTGTGTGAAAGACGATTGGACTGTGATGGTCTAGATGAAGGGCGGCTGTGATGAATTCATAGTGAGTTCATTACTGAAAGCGCCTATGGCTACCAACTTCAATTTCCCCATTTTAATCCTGCTTGCTGCAGTCCAAATGTAAACAGTAACTGTTGCATTGGCTGTGGCATTCGGGGGGTGTCATTAGGCTGCAGCCTTTATTGGACACATGTTCAGTGGGACCCTACCAAGATACATTAAGACCCCTCTAGGTGTGGAAAAAATTTACATGGAATCAACCGATGAAGCCAATCCTGGGATTTGCTCAAACCCAGTAAATATTTTTTGAAATTCATTCACACTGAGCAACATTTAAATACATGCTTTTCCAATAACTGCTTTAGTTCACAAGGTTGGAAAAAATTTTGAGAGGAACTTTTTCCCAGGATCCAGTTGGGGTCTTAATTTTAACGCCTACCAAACAGAACCTGCAGCAGCCAGTAGCAGAAGCCAAAATAGTCAGCATGACAGAGTTAGAGATTAGAGTCAAAAGGGGGAAAGTGGAGGACAACGGAGACATTTGTCTCCTTACAGTGCATAGATCAAATCAAGGAAGCACTACAGTTACAAAAAAGAAAAAAACATGATTTTTTTCTTCTTCATTTTAGATTTGTAAACTTTTATCAGTCATCAAATGATTACATTAAATGTTTTTTTAATATACTCTTTGTCCATAACACACACACAATAGATTTTAAAATTTATAACATCCACAATTTTTCGCTAAAACAAAGCAGGTTTTTTTTTTTTTTTCCTCGTTATACAACCGCACAACTTTATGGTGAACACAGTTTGCAGGCTCACCACCCATGACCGGAAAGAGGGAGATTTTCTTCTTTTTCTACAAAACAAACAGAACAAAGAACACGCACACGCAGAAACGCACACGACGACGACCAACACAACGCAGGAATAGCAAGGATTTGCTACAGCGGTCTCTCATGCCCACTCTTTCAAGGCAGGGCGATGTTACCAACAAAGTTGTCTTATTGTTGTTCAGCAGAGAACTGTATCATCATTGGGAGTTGTTGTACCATTGCTGTTAAAAGTCCCATTTCCTCCATTGTCTCTTAACTCCACCAGACTCCCAGCGACATCCTCATTTTTAAGCAGTATCCTCCGGTGAAAGAAACTCGTTTTATTCCAATGATAAAAATGTAAACATTTTGCGAGGTTGCCTTGCATGGAGGTACTGAGAGGCCTGTCTGAGGGCAGGGCCGTGTAGCCGGAGGGGTGTTGCTGCAGTCTACGAAGACTGGCCAGTCTGTCAGCGGTGCAGTGACTTCTGGGCCTCCTTTAGCAGAGTGTCAAAGTCCAGTGCATCGTACTTACTCTTGACAGGGCCTGGACCTGCCTCATCTGCAAAACAAAAAAGGTAATTGTCAAATGCAAGAAATCAGAAGTCAAATTCCGGGTCCTAGTGGAAAATATAAGACCATTTCAGATGGACTGTGTGCTTCTTAAAGCCAGAAAGAAGGTACAGTAAACTTGCCTGGTGCGCTCGTGCAGAGTTCAGCTTTGGTGGATTTTGACTATTTAAGCATAAGCTACTACTAATAGTCAGTAGCTCTACTGCAAAACCACCCAGTAGTCACCACATCACCAAGCTTCCAGCACTACCAATTTTGTGAGAAAAAATACTATCTGTCACTGCCACTAGGGGCACCATAGTTGCCTGGTACACTGTAGTGCAGGTCATGCTGGTCTACTATTTGAACCACTTATAACTGTCTGTGTGTGTGTTTTCATTACCAAGATCTATGTAGCGTTTCCTTGTTAGCCTCCTTAGGCCAGCAGGTCCGTTCTGGAAAAGAGTCTCCCGTTCTCTCCAATGTCTCTGAACCCCCGGCTGGCAGATCTTTATCACCCCACAGCGCTCCCTACAACCAGATGGATAGAGAGACACATGCATTAAGATAATGACAGTTTGCTTTTGAGGAGATAAAGAAGGTACATGCCGGCATCAGTCGTGATGGAGAATCCTGAATCAGTCACATGAATCCTATCATTCAATGTGCATTGAGCGCACAAATTGAAAGATTAATTGGACTGTAATGGTCCAATACAGAAAACTCCAGAGGAAATCTCCTGCTTTACTGATCTGATCTCTCTCTGATAGGGGTGTGGAAAATAATTGATTCTTAGACGCATCGCGATGCGGACTTGGACAATTCTGAATTACCTAAAGGTTAACTGATAACGTAATGTTGACGGAACGAAAAAGGGGGAACTCGGAAATGCGGTGTGCACACAACAGAGATGTGTGCTCCCTGTTCGGCAAGGCAGGCAGCTGTTGAATGAATGACTGTTGCTACTAAACTTTCACATGATTAATAAAATCAATATGCAACTAATGTTAATGATTTTCACCGGCACACTGTGCAGCATGGTAGCGCTTAGCTAGCGTCCCCTGCTCATTCTTCAAAGGACAGCTACATGACAGGCGGTATAGTTGACGGTGAAAGCGAGCGGAGCAGAGGAAAATATGAACGATAGGTTTCAGTCTGGCAGTAAATGTACAGTGTAGGTCACAGTGCGTCCGTTAATTAAATGTCTGTTGTTTTACAACTGTTAGAAAAGTGAAGGCAGTTATCGTTAGCTAATATCTTTTCAGACTGCGGTTTGGAAGCTGAGCAGGACTTTTTTGGGCTGCTAGATTACAATAATCAACTTACAAGACAATACACAAATATGTAACTACACTAGACGAGACAAAAAAAAGAACAGCTGGAGCATTGCAAAGTGTGTAGTTCAACCCGTATCTGAATTTATACTAATAACAGCAGCATCAGAAATGAATATAGCAGCAACAGAGGTCAGTAATAATTCTGTAATAATGTAAAAAAGCTATGTAAAAAAATTAATTAACATTAAGAGCTGCATTTCATTACTACCTACTTAGTTGGTCCAAGAAGTCACACAGTGAAAAAAATGCATCTTTATCCTATTCGTTTTACAATCGCATCGTAGCCCTCATCATCGTAGAGGTGCCTAGAGATTCCCACCCCTAGAGGTGATCGAGCTATCAAATCGAATGGTTGACAGGATAATCGTAATCGAATCGTGAGACCAGTGAAGATACACACCCCTAGTCTCTGGACTGATGCCTGATTTGTATTTACTACATCAAGTACATTATAGCTCTGTATCAAATTTAAAAGAACATATATGCAAAATAAGTGAAATGACAAATGTTTTCTGCAACAAAAAGAGGGCAACTATTTTATCCCTATGTAGAAATTTGTCCTTGACCCACTTTAACTATTTAGGAGCAGTGGCCACCATCAGTGCGAAGCCCTAGACTAACTCCAGTGCCTTGGTTGAGGGCGATGGTAGGAGTAGTCACAGTATCTAATATTTTAATAGTTTCCCTTTTTATGGTGTGTGAGAACCAAAGCTTCTGAAGTAACCTAAACTAACATGAGAAAATGTTGACTGCTGTTGATACTAGGTGTCTCACTAGATGTTTTCCATATACAAATAGGATAGACAACAAATACTGCCTTATTTCTCATCATCGTTTTTTGTGTTTATTGCATCTCAACTCTGTTTCGCACAAGGTTGCCAGATTACTTCAGGGAAATCAAGACAGGCATTTCTGATTTTCTTGCTATTTATATTTAATTTACCAAGCCCAGTAACTCAATTTTACAAATGTCTCAATCTACCATGAATTAATGACATGACAACATGATGTGACTACAAAACTTCGATCTGATTATAAAGTCAGTGCAACTTGCATATACACAGACTGTGATCCACAGCGCAAAACTGTACTGTATCATCAAGGTTCCCATATCTTCAGATCAAGGAATCCAGATCAGGACACTTACTCATTGCAGATGATGACTTTGCAGTCGTCTGCTTTGCCAAAAACCTGGAAGCGTTTCCTCAGCATGTTCTGGGTCACGCTGGTTGGCAGGTTGTGGATGTAAAACACCTGGCAGTTGTCCTGGCAACAGGGAAACCATGGTAACAGTCAGGACAAAGGACAATACAGAATACAGATAGACGTGGGAACTGAAGTAGGAAGGCTGTGTGTAGGGCGGCATCACGAGGCTCAACACTTCAGACCCTGTGGTCATTTACATGCAGTGCATTATTCTGATCTTGCAGGTGCAATATGCATCTGCAGATATATGCTCAGTTTGTGTTTTTATGTCCAAACATTTGTACCAAAATCTAAAAATATTTAGATGTTTTTCCGCATAAACCATTTGCTTTAGACGTGTGTTGTATAGTCTGTGCCAATTCAGGGGGAATTTGCTTTTTTGATTAATAGCAAAAAAGTTTGAATTCAATAGTATTGCAGTATGCAGAAGACTGTAGGGCATGAATGTTTCCTGTACCTCGTCAGACTTGGCTTTGTTCCTCTGCTTGTCGTCAGGACAGATCTCCGAGTTCTCACTAAAAGAGGACGAGGACGGAAAGAGGAGAGGATAGTGAGATAAGGATGGGCACAAGGTGAAACTGAAATGTCAGACATGAGGAAACAGGTGAACTGCAGCAAAAAAGGAGACTTTCTTCCACTGACTGCAGTACGGAATCACTGTGTTCTTTATCATCTCTTTCTCCTACATTCCCACCCCCTTTTCTCTGTTACTCATGTCTTTCATGTGCAAAAACAATAGGACTACTGACCTTCTTCTATGTGAGACAGTCAAACTGTAACTTGCAAGGATAAAAACGAGCACTGGCCTATTCGAAGTAAGACAGTATAGTCTTGGATTAAAATGTTTCCATGAGTTGTTTATGGAACTATTCCATTCATACTGTATTTCTGTTTGCATGTGATAAGAGCATCACCCTATGTAAATGCAAAATTGTGGCTGACAAACGCAACAAAAATCTCAAACAAGTGTTTAACTGTAACTGAATTTAACTTAAAATTCAAAAGCAACAAGGTTGGTCGCATGGCTAGATATGGCAATGGAAATAGGGCGGGGTTCTTTTTTGCAGCCAGAAACAACAAAACAAGTTGATGTGAGAACACACCACGGTTGATGCCTTGAGTTGAAGTTTGTTTGACATCAGCCAGCAGCATTCAACCTTTGTGATGTGTCACATATTTGTTTTCTCTTGTCTCTTGGGTTGGGTGATAATAGACTGTATACCATAAGACGATAAAAATGGGTCAACCATCAGAGATTTTGCTAAACTGTCTATACTGGGGCGTCTCTCACTGTAATATCTCTCTATTAAAATTTTGCGAAAACACTGTACTTTTAGACATTTTTTACTGCAACATACAGTAAGAGTAGAGTCAACGTAACAGCCTCTGTTATGACGCAGTTGGTTTTACCTATGTCGAACAATATGCTGAGAAAACTACACTAAAGACTCATACTTGGATAGCCTTTCAATAATGCAGAATTGTTCTTTCTTAGCTCCTTTCCTCTGCCACATTCATTCCTTTCTCTTTCCCTCTATCTGATACTTCGCTCTCTCACTGTTGATCTAATCTCCTTGACCCACATCTTGACAGCTCTCCCTTCCCTCCTCTCACGGTCGTTGTCTCTCTGTCTCACCTGGAGTCTGTCTTGCTGGCGGGGGAGTCGGGACACAGGTGGAGGGTGGGTGAGGGTGAGCGAGACACAGATGAGCGCTCCGCCTCTTCCTCTGAGGCTGGTGGTGTGGCAGCTGTGGACGGGCACTCTGACGGCGGCGATGATGATATCACCACTGTCATCTTCTGCTTCTCGAGTGGTTCTGCGTCTTCTGATGCCACAAGCTTTTCACCGTTCTCGTTGCCCTTTCCATCCGATACCTGATCGTTGGCTGCTTTGGATGCTAGGGTGCTAACTCCATCGCTCCCTCCTTGCGACTGCAACATGGCGCCAAGCATGGCAGCACTACGCTTGCGGCTCTCCCTGAGGCTCAGCGCACAGTAGTCATGGTCGCCAAAGGTGCCATGGGTGTCACTGTCACCTGCCTGGCCCATGCGGCGCAGTTGGGCATACAGCTCCGTCTGCTCTGGAAGCTTCCGCTGGTGGTGGGCACGCTGAGCCCAGGACGAGCCCTTTGTGGCAACGTTGGTGCTTGAAGCCAGGTGAACAGACTCGCTGCAACCCCCTCCTTCGCCACTGCTGCCACCACCTGCTCCTTCACCACTCTTTCCTCCCTCTGCCGGTTTGAAGAGCTCATCCTCCACTGGTTTGTGAGGTGGGGTGGTGGGAGGGGTGAGACCTGAAGGGGAAGGGAAGACATAACCACATGAGCAGGATTCGAACTACCAAGAAATAATCCAACACATAACCCCCTGTAGACGTTTTTGCAGTTCCGTTTTCATACTGATTAAACAAATGATATTTAACTTGTTAATTATTGAGCTTTGAGTGGCTGGTCGGCAGATGTTACCTTTGGACAGAACCAGGCTAGCCGTTTCCCCCAGTCTCAGTTTTAATTCTAAGCTAATCGGCAGTTTTTTCATCTACTGTAACTCACTGCAAGAATAAGCATATTTCCCAAGACACTTTCAGCATCAGCTCAAGGAGGAATCTAACTGACAATGTCAATGCACGTTTTCCTCTTACTTCCCAAACAATAAGATTTGGTCCCACTATCCCTGTCCCTTTATGACTGTGTCTTGAGGGATGTAACATGTTGATGTGCATACAAACAAACAACTTAGTAAACATGATGTGTTTACCTGCCGTTCCACACAGATCGACACTGAGCGTCTGCTCGAAGGGCTTGGTGCCGTACTGGGACTCTCTGGTGGTGAAGAGAGGACAGAGAGAAATTAAAGATTGCTGTGTCATGTTGGAATCTGTTGTATTTTTCAAACATTCAAGTTAACAGCAATCCAATAACAATCTTTAATAGGCTCTCAGTAAAAGCTCTTTCCCTCCCTAAAATACAGAAACAGCACAGTTTCAGATGATGTCTGCTGAATTTGAATTATGTTTCTCCCTGTAAATGCTACTGGCATTTCTCGGCGCTCCTCATTTCTTATCACAACAACCATATGTACTCCGCTGTCCTCTCCCCTATTCTTCTTCTGCTTTCTATTTCTGGCTGTCTGTTTCTGTTTCTCCAGTTGCCATGAAAGGCAGGAGCAGTGCCGAGCCGATTGGCTTCAGGGGGGATATTACTTACCCTCCACAGAGAACAGGAGAGTAAAATAAATTTTTAAAAAACAACTTTTGGTTTTTTTTTGGTGAGCGCTTTAGAAGACAGATTCATTTAGAAGATGGACGGACGCCAGGGGTTTGTACAGGAAAACATTCAGCTTTGTGACTGGTTAGAGCTGGAGAAGTTCCAGGCTTTGAGCCTGGATGGGTGGGTGGGGGGGTTAATTTGGAAAAGTAAGAACATTGAGGACACTCTGTCTGGCAGAGATTAAAATCTGAGTAAGCCAGCCAGGGGTCCCAATTCATTAGGGATCTTGTGAAAAAAATAGCTGAATTTGGGCCTGGTTTATCTTGTTACAAGTTCAGAATAGTATACACTCTTATGACATTATACATGACATGACTGCAAACTGTGCTTACTGATATGGATTAAAACACAGGCTTTCTTTTTGAAGCATGAAGACAATTATGGTCAAACATGGTCTAGATAGCGCTGTCAAGCTTTGTTATGCTGAGTGTAATTATGTACATTAGTGTCACTAACTTTGTTTCAGAGGCTTTTCCACCCTGTAACAACAAATCTCCAGACCAAACACTTAATACCTTTAAGTGAATATGTATTAATTATGGACTACTGCCAGATTGTGAAGCATGAGATTATATAATAGAGACAATGAAACAAATACCTAAATAGGATCAAATCAATTGGTGCTGAATGTTAAAAATTACAGCAAAGGTGATTAACACAGTAATTTGCACATTTACAAGCATTAGATTAGTATAACTGAAAAAATCCTGTGCTCCTTAATGGTAAACCGCCTCTCACTCAATACTCATAAATAAGCGATTCCCAATATGTTGACTGCATTTCCTCGGCAATGTGGAACAGTAGCCTCCATTATATCCATTTGGAATTTAGATCAGACTTAAGTGGGACTCTATTGGAAAAAGATCCCAGCCATGCTCTACTGTGCATGTGGCTCTAGTTACCAGAATCTAGATCACAACCTAGTAGCAAAATAGCGAAAACACTACATCAAAATAAAAAGAATGATTGGTAATTAGCAAACCAACAGTTTAGCTATAGTTAACATTTGTTCACGGTTAAGGTTATTAGAAGACAGTTTTTTTAATTAGTAGTAATCAGTAATGCACATTTATTGAGCAATTTAGGATTATTTAGTTACAATTTCAAAGATTTCATGTATGGATATAGCCTTTAAATTTAATGAAGTTAAAAACTGAATGATTGGTGAACTACCACTGCATTTTGTCTGGTCTTCAAAATAAACTATTTGAAAAAAAAAAAACCCTACAATGTCGGTCTCCTTTTAGCTTACAAAATAACTGGCTATGAATTAGAAGAATTTAGTGCAATAAGAGGCCAGGAAAAAAGACATTCATTAAAGGATGCTTTACATGAAGTACTCTGCTACTGCAGGCTTGACGCTGCATGAAAAATGAAGGAGTACTTTTACTAAGCATCTACTGTATGACAAAACACAGCAGGTACTTTATATGGTGATACTCACGCTGTGGACTTGGGGTTGAGAGGCAGACAGAGGCAGGCTCGCTTTTCTGCAATCGGAATAAAAAGCCAATTACAACCATGCATTACATTACATGCATGTGAAGATGCAGATACATGGGAAGATGCATGTCTGTCACTTTTTCCATTAACAATGAGCATGAATGTGTAAGTCTGTTGTGTTTGTATCTTGGGCTTCATTTACACTCAACACTGGTATTTTCTAACCGCTTATGTGACTCTGATCTTTATTATCAGTGTGATCAGCAGTCACATTTTCTAGTCACATTTTTTCAACTCTGGTCTGGATCTCAGACCATAACCAGACATAAGAGCTGCAGTATATGTGACTTACATTATAATGCTCACATCTCCAAGGACATTCAGTAAATCCTACATCATTCACATTGTTAAATTTATCATTATAAATTATTGGCTGAGCCAGTATAAGTATAGGGAACAAAATAAAATTGTAAAAAACCTGAATACTTTGAGATATGGATTACAATTAGTCGTTAAAAAAAAAGTTGATATTAACAGCTATAAAAACTACACAATAAAAGCTTGTAGTATGAATGTAACCTGTATCTTTCCTGTCCATCTCACCGTTTTGGCAGCAGGGTTTGGTCGATTCTGTTAGCAGCTCTGGCTGCGTCACCGTCGTGGTTGCCCCTCCTGCTTGGGTTGGTAGGAGTTTGACTCCTGCTCGTCCCTCCTCCTTCTTGTCCTTCCCTTCTCCTTCCCGCGCCCGTCCAGGCCGCAGCCTCTTGGCGAACCGGCTGGGGTAGGACGCAAGACGTCGGGAGCGCCGAACTGAGAAGGAGCCGCTGTCCTCTGCTGTTTCCTCAGAGGTTTGAGGCACCTCAGAGGAGTAGTATCTCCTCTCAGGGGACGGAGAGTCTTTACGAAGTTCCAATTTAGGGGTAGTGGAGCTGGGGGAGTGGGCTGGGGCTGATTTAGCCAGGGCAGAAGAAGCAGATACTCCTTCTCTGTTGGGGCTGAGGGAGTGGGAGTAGGGGGGGCTGTGCAGTCTGTAAGGCTTGCTCACATCAAAAGAGCTGCTCTGCTGCAGGAGCTCACGGAGAAGGGAGCTGGCCTTCATCTCCCTTCGCTTTGCGAATGGGAGCCTCCTAGGGGCACTGTTGCCTGTCCCAGTCAAAGCCCCACTAGTCCCAGGAGTAGCCACCAAGACAACTCTGCTGTGAGAGCTTGTGGTGGCCAGGCGGGAGGCTTCAGGTCTGGCCCGAGGCCTCTGGAGGTCACGGTCCTTACGCTCCGAGCCCTGCTGCTTGCGTGTGGGCAAGCAGTAGGTGTGCATGTAGGTGATCAGCTCCACCACTGAGTGCAGTTCTTTCTCTGAGCTGAACTGAGGCTTGGCTGGCTCAGTGGGGACAGCAGCCACAAGTGCCACACCCTCCACCTCACTGCTGGAAGACTCCTCCTCTTCTTCCTCCCCTTCCTCATCATCCTCCTCCGACTCACTGTCCTCATCCTCTTCTTCCTCTTCGTCCTCCTCTGTGTCTGGGGCAGGGGTGTCCTCTGAGTCCTTGGCGGTGGTGAGGTGGCGGTGAAGCTCGGTGCACAGGCGGCCCGCTGGACGCACCGCTCGGGGCTTACGCTCCTGTGGGAGGTCACTCTGTGTGAGGGTAGAGACACACATGCATGAATCCCAGTGTGAGACTTTATCCTCAAACTGCTTGCTCTGTACATGGCTAAAAAATTTAGCCTACAAGCTGAAAAATGTTACGACTGCAGTCACATATCAACAGAGATGAGTTTAATTATTGAATGGAGAAAAATGTTCTACATTTTGAGCTTTTCTGATGTTATGACAATAAAGAGCCACTGAACTGAGGCAAATGAAGAGGTAAATGGATGAAAATGAATTTGCGAGAGGAGAGCAAAAGGAGAGAATCTACACCTGTAACTCTGATCTTGTTAAACTTGTCTGTGAACTGGGGATTAGACTACAAGAATTTAATGCTGCAATAGTAAGTAAGTGATGAGAGTGAAGTAACCATTAAATAGACAACTACTAGCCAATATGGCCTGTCTAGTAAGTTACTCTCTACCACACTTTTGATCATTTGGGGTTTTTCCAGAACCTGCGGTTGAAATAAATAACATTTATTTAAAAGTTATTCATCTAAATATTGTAATCAGGTTTTTTTTAAATTGAAATACATTTTCACGTTATTGGTTTTTAAATTAAAAATGAAAATAATTTTAACTGTTCTAACTGTATGTCTTTATGAATAGTTACCCACTTACCCTATACCAGCTTTGTACACATTTTTTATTATTTGATTTTGTACACACTGAAAAATGCCTTTTGACTCATCCAAAGCAACAGATCATCTATCTAGATCGACACATTGGTCTTTGACTTTGAGAAACTGACACTAAAACCATTTTACATTTTCTATTAAACTCTGTTACTGTGCTGGACATGTCACATCACACTGTCTACAGATGTTAACAGGAACAAGAAAAATGAACCACTAACAACAGTAACTGACTCATGAACGCATGGGTGTATCTTCAATTTCCTGCCCTGGATACAGCAACACTGAGCACACAGCAGTAAGTTTTGCTTCCGACGTCGTGAGAGATGATTCAGTGTGCAGCTGCGATGAAATGGCTGATTCTATTTTACTCCTACAGGGAGAGGAGAGAGACTATGATTCACTGTTGACCTCTTGCCCTGTCAGTCAATACTCTCACCATCTGCCATAGCAAAGCCACACTACTCTAAAAAACGAACACAGACATGCACACTACCGGCAACAGTGCGGTAAGGATGGTGTGTGATGGATACAGGCTTGGCTTATTCCCGCGCTGCATCCTGGGGGGATTTTGTATCCTCTTTGCTTGAGCCAGAGCAGAAGACTGTTTTGTGCTTGTACATGATAAATTACTGGTGTTGTAATCAATGACCACTTGAAGCACAATGCTAGACAGCTATCCAATTACTGCTAAGTCATACAGCAGTAGCCATTGTAAATGTCCTCTCCTCCACAACACCACATCTATCATGGGCAGCAGCTGAAGGTCTCTGCAAGCTTGAAGGCTCAGTGAGTTTCCAGTCCAAAAGGAGATGTGTAATTTGGAAAATAAAACTATTGTTGCACTAGCTGGACAACTACTGGCTGCTTTGCTGTTTTTTTTCTGTTCATGTTATAAGTAGGGTTTTGGCAATACAAGTTCTTACAGACCAATACTGATGTTGTTTAAGGCAGGATGATGCACGCACCCACAAAGACATTGAGAAATGTCCCTGGTCCAGCGTATCTAACAAATGTCAATGCTTTTCAAAGCGACCCGTATGTCTGTTGTGATTCATATACGCCTTTTCTAATCTGCAACCTATAAAGTTAAGGGTTGGTTAACTTTAAAAAAGATTATCATAGCTCAAATAAATCATTGTTGACTATTAATAGAAAAGGGCTGCAAAATGCAAGCTCTGGTGTCAAAGTCAGACAGTTAGTAGACCAAACCATACATCTCAACCCCCCCCCCCCTTGGTTTTGCAGCCTACTACTTAACTTTACCTTAACCTTGCTTTTATTTGTGTGAGGAACAAAACATAACATAGGTCATTTCAAGCATGTAAACAAACTATTACTCTAACTTTTCTAGCAAACAGTCTCAAATGCCTTGACAGTGTAGGAATAATTCATAATCAAATGCTGATATATGATCTACGTGTTGGTCTGCAGGCACCTGCTGGAAGACCAACTTCTGCAGCGGCAGTGATGCTGACTGCAAGCCGTGCATGCAACAGTGAATTACTTCTGTCTAAACTCGCCACCTCTGAAGGAAAGTGATTGGAAAAAATCCAATTTTGTTATCTTGCCAGCCTTCAGAAGACACAGGGAATGAGGCGGTAACCGGTGAACAGAGAGATGTGTCTAGGGTTACAAGATAACATACTGCTTCAATTCCACTTCACACTCTAAGAAAGACTGAGGAAAGCGATGTGCATTGTTAATAAATAAGTGAAGGGAGAGCTTTAATTTCATATTCAACTATCACATACTGTATCTACCTTTAATCAACAAGTATTCACAGTAATTTGTGCCTCACCTTGACCAGAGGTCTGACTGTCCGTAGGTGCAGGCTTCTGTTGCTATAGCGATGGCCGTTGACTCTATCTTTGTGTGCGTCGATGCCCGTGGGCACGTTGGGAGGAGTCAGCAGCAGCTTCTTCAGCTAGTGAGGAAGACAGTGGGAGAAGTCAGTTAGGCAAAATAAAAAGTAAAATAAAAGTAGGATGTACTTTTGTTCTTGTAATTATGTCCTAATGAGGACCAAATGTGTCCCTCTGGATGGATAGCAATTTTTGAGTCCTTGCTCCCTTAAAATGATATTTAGGATAAGATTTGGTTAAGATTAGTCTACATGATACATTTGAGTTATAAATGTAATTGATACAAGTATCATAATAAAAACGTGTATTAGGGAGATGGGAGGTTGAAGAAGGAAAAGTAAAAAAAAGCTACATAAGTCTTAAAGATCTTTTTACACATTTTATTCAGAATAACAAAAGAGGCTGAAAAAAATTTAAAGGGTTAATAGTGAAACGAAGGTGTCCAACATTTCACTCCTATAGGCTTTCAATACAATTTTTAATCTATATTCTGTCGGGTGTTAACGTCCTGCAGATGGATCTTTGTACAAGGGAATAATGTGCAGAAGAGGCCATGAGGTTATGAGACTGCACATCTATCATATCTCTAAAGCTGACGGCTACATGGCACATTCACGTTTCCCATTAAAGATCTGGATTCAGCCATTTCTCTGTCTATAAAAACATAGAATATGACTTCTGCTCCTCCCTTTCTCCTCCATCCAGTTTTGTCCATCAGTCCCTCTAAATTGTTCTGGTCTCTCCTGATGTCTTTTGTCTGCTTCTTCCTCTGCTCCCATTTGTTCCAACACCCCTCCTTCCATCCCATCCTCCCCGTCTTTCTTTCCTTCCCTCTTTCTCTACCACCTATCTCCATCAGCTCTTCCTTTTGTTTAATCCTTGTCCTGTCTTTCAGCCCATTTTCTCTGTTTTCATCCATAAATCTTTGCCACAGTCCCCTCTTACTTTCCCATTTCTGATCTTCATCCTTTCTTTCTATTTCTGACATTTGACAGCCATCTTAATCTAAATCTATGTACTTTTACATCAACTCTTTGCTCTTTCTTCTGTGCAGCCGCCTTAATGTTGTCTTTTACCTCTCTCTCTTCTTTCCATTTTCCCATTCCTTAAGATCAAATAGGAAGCCACAGTTAAAATAGAGAGAAGAAACAAACCCCTCCTGAATCCATGGGTATTACCTTTCACATGGATACTAACACTACCGCTCCTCATTCCTTCCATCCTTTCATAGCTTTTTTCCATTTGTCTATTCATCCATTCATCCCAGTACCAAGCTTCATGACAGCGCTATCAGCTGATATAAATCAGCTTAGGGAGAAAATCCCCCACTAAGCTATGCAGTGTTTGCTCCAGGAGAAGAAGATGTAGAAAATACAGATGTGATGGGAATGAGGATTGGAGCAGTAGGATTCCCAAATGATTTACAGCAAAGGGCCCTGCACACTCTCTTAATGCAACACACCCTCTGGCAGCCATATTTGAGGTCCTAATCTCTTGGGAAACAGTGACTGAGGTCACCTGATTTTGTTTGTCAACAATTCATGCCTACTGGGAATTAATACACTTATTGAAGTTGAATAATCAGTTAAAAAAGATGATTTTCTTTGGAAAAAAGCATCAAAAAGTCATAGTCACAAACTGTCTACCCAGGTGAATTTCAACAATAAATACCAAATTACCAAGCTTGAATTACTATTGTGTATCTAGTGAGTTTAAGCTAAAGTAGAAACCTGAAAATACATTTAAATCTACAGCCCTGCACTTCTGACTTGTTTCTTTGTCATGGGGCTCATATGAATTGTAGTATTTTGTATCTACCATATCGAATATGAAAGAAATGATTATGAAATATTCAAACCCGATGGCCACAATATAAACCTATCATATGATTAAATTATCCAGGAGACACCTGTTTTGTGAAACAATGAGAATATCACAGACAGAAAACTTTGAAATGGGGTATTCACAGCTGGGGAAAAAACATTTGAAACAAGAACTGGATCCAATCAGAAACGTGTATTTTCAGTGGCTTTAGTATAATGGTAGTTTGTTAGCTAAGGTATCTGCTCAGCTGACCCTCACCTTCATTTAAACATCAAACTTGTGCCAACCTAACATGTACGAGCTCAGTTATCAGCATGTTGTTTAATACATTAGCCTGCTAGCTAGTTAAATAAATTTACCACAGACTATTCACTTTAAACTTACTTAAAAAATATAAAATTACTGACTAGACAGAAAACCACGCTACAAATGTTTCATGTTTATGATTATCTAGTCCCTTTGTTATATAATTAGCGATTAGCTTTGACATTTAATAATCCAATGGACCTCTGATGGCGCCAGAACATACATCAAATCTGCTGACCCACCTCTAGTTCAACTTTGTACGGGGAACTAAATATATCTGAGAAGGGCTCTTAAAAAGACTTTATATGCTTTTGAAGTTGGCATACATCTTTATGAGAAAGTAATGTTAAATAGTATGGAGAGAAAACTCATAAATAAAACTGAAGCAATAAGCTTTAAAAGATGCTTCTCTGTAAACATTACAGCAGATTTTTGCTTATAATGGTTGTTTGCCATACAGCTACAGCTCATGGTTCAGGGGGTCATAGTTAAAACTACATTTTATTTACAACACTATCATGGTATTTTACTGGAATGCTTTAATGAGTACAACATCACCACCCAACAGAACTGGCTGTAACCACAGAATACTATCTGGGTCAAATGACTGACAGGATGATCGCCCGCTTCTCTAATGGGGCCCTTTGTGGACGAGCCAACTTGGCTCAGATTGTGTGATGATGCTTCTTTGAGAGTCCCATTGAGGAAAGTGAAGAGGAGACTGAAGGTTTGTGTCTGTGTGAAACATTGAAAGCCTTCCGGCAGCATCCGGGCCCCTCAAACACTCTACTCTTCTCCGCTCTACTCTACTCTACTCTGGATGCCTTCCAGTGCTCCACTGGCATCATCAATGGAGGCCTTGTTCTGTGGTGGGACACGCGCGCGCGCACACACATACGGAAAAACTGGAGGTGCAATTGTAATCCCACATGAATATAGTGATATACACACAAATGAAAGTACAATGCAAACACGTCAGTGAGGAAACATAAACATGTACACAAGAAGATTATATGAACATATTTGGTGGTGTAAAAAAAACATTAGGGAGCAAATACAATAAAACAGTGTGACTGGCTTACTCAATAGAGAAAACACATGCAAGCTAACAAATAACGTGTACTCACAAACAGGCGAGCAAATTAAGGTGCAACTCAAACACTAGGTTGTACCATGTATCCAGGTATGGTGATTTACGAGCTTTTCAACAACAGCAAACCATCTGAAATACGCTAACAAATACTGTCTAGATATAAAAAGACCATTCTTCTTAGATCACAAATTGAAACTTAACATTTGGAGATACACAATTTTAACTTAAGAACAATCTAGACAAATAAACACACAAATACACATGACTGGCTTTATTTTTATTATATACTATAAAATGTTTAAGCTTTTTAATATTTTAGATGTCTACAAGTGCGTTTTCAAGTCATAATTGCAAAGTGACCAATCTCAATGACAACCTGGTCTGCAATTAGAATATGATTAATAATAATTCAAGATACAAATGGTGACAAAATACAGTAAAGTTCTAAATAAATGAGCTACGCATGTAATACAAATGTTTCCATAAAGGGTTTGCGGCTTCCTCACTGAATGGTTTAGAAGAGTATGAAAGTTTTGTGATTCATATCCTTTGCAGTTACCAAATCTGAACTGAGCACTTTTGGGAGATTTTGGAAGAACGTGTTAAACAGCATTTTAAAACATCAACATCAAAACACCAAATTAGGTAATATCTTTTGGAAGAATGGTGTTCATCCCTCTAATAGAGTTAGGAGACATAGAAAATATGTAAAGCAGCACTGAAGTTGTTTTGGAGGCTCATGGTGGACCAGCATCTTATTAATACATTTCATTTTGTTGTTATGTTGCTCTCCTGAAATTCAATTTAAATAGTCCTATTTCCAGTAAAGATATATTTAATGTTATTAGAGATGTGATCGAGTCGTTGTAATCAAACAGTTTATAACTTGTGAAAACATGAATATAACATACATACCATTACATTCAGACTAGTTAGACTGAAATTACTTTTTCCATTAGGCTGAATGTGATTTTATATGCACATCTATTTGTCAGTATTGGTGTATAAATGTATTACATACAAAGTAATACAAAAGAATGTAATCGGATCACATAAGAGTTATAACTAGGTAATGCGTCATTACATTGGTAACAGGTCATGAATAAATTGCTGATATTTAATGTGAATCTAATCAAGCTAATAAAACTTGCAGATTGATGTGTACTGAATGGACAGACAGACACTCCACAGTATCACTTCTCACCAGTAGAGGGCAGAGCTGCACTCAGGCCTAAACACGAGTGACAGCAGTCATGTGACAGTAAACTACTCAACTGATAGAAATAGGGGATGAAGCCCACACACACATCTGGCAGCTTCAGTGGAGTAAACAGTATAATGTTATTACAACAGGCTTTTCTGTGTGAGTGGATGTGAATGTCAGGTTGCTATTTTTGTCACTGATAGTATACGCAATGGAAACAGAGCTAGGATGCAGGATGATATGATTTATATACAGTCAAGAGAAATATTCTGCTTTCTGTCAGGGGGCCCGGAGTCGGTCCTCAATGAGTTTTGAGACTGCGCATTCCAGACGATTCATTCAGTGAATATAAAAAAAATCCTCAGAAGTCAGGGAATATCATTATGAAACTAATTAGTAAGTTTATACCAAAGATGCACAATTATTTTTCAGTTTTGTTTGAGTAGATTTTTTTTTCTTGGGCAAAGAGGACAAGATACCAGATTTGGATAACATTAATTAAATAGACAGAAAGAAAAACACTGGGTCATGGAAGTGCTCTCATGTAAATATAGGTTCTTGTAAAAGTGTAAACAGCAATTTGAACTGTGAATGGTTAGGTATTACAACAGTTAAGTGGCTGCTACAGGTGAATAGTAATAGTAGTAGTAGTGTAGTTATTAACAGATGGTGATTGCACGTTTCATCAGTTCACAATCAGGAAATGTGAAATGCTAAAAATGGCACTAATTTGTCAATCAACGTGCCACTTAAATTCAAATTTTTTACATTACATATTAATTACATTCCTACTATCAACTGCTTGCATCAAAAATATTTGGTTGATCCTAAGTGGATCCTGTGCTTCGGAAAAACACCCAGTACTGTTCACCAGTGATCCTGAGATGTAAACGATAGTAGGCATCTCTCTACTAGAGATGTAGAAAACTCTGAATCCCCCAAAGCAATAGGAGGCTTGACTTGTCGTGCTAGTCACAAACTTGCTGCCTGTAGGCATACCAAAATGATGCCTTAGGGAAATTATTTCTGAAGTTTTAGTGGCAACAAAAGAGAGGTAGAAAGTATAGCTAGAAACTGTAGTTGTACCTTACCAGCAGAAATAGTAGTAGTATGTGGCTGTTTGACAGAAAAAGGGACCTGTGTGTATGTGAGGAAACTTTTTTGAAAAGTGTTATCTTGTCAGCTGTCAGAGGAATGAAGCAGCAACCAGCTGACTGAATGCTGTGTTTCTGGGGATAGAAAATACTTTTTCAGCTCTACCAGCAAGAAAAACGCTGGAACAGCGATGGTGCAGGGTAAAGAGAGCACAGCTAATCACTAAGCTGAGCACACACCGAGAGTTTATGGCACTAAACTTAACATTTAGGTTGAAGATTTGGGCCTAAACTCCACACCATTATTTCTCAATGTGCTCTCTCAGCATCAATCTGCTTACTGTTCGTGTAATGATCACCTCCTGTTGTTTGAACCCAAAGTCATTGTGGTATCAGATAATTCAAAACACAGACCAAGACACCCAGCTGACAAAAGATGTAAGCATGATTGACAGGGTTTCTATGATGACTTACACTGTACTTAATCACGTTCTTCCCAGTATATAATGGTAACTATCCAACAGAACCTACCACTTCTCACTTGACCTTCACTGTGTTTTCTTAACATATGCAGGTGGAAATGCAGAAAACTGGCAGGCGTAACTGATTAACCAGCCTACACTCATTCTTATTTTGATACAGGTTGACTGACAACTAAGGAGTCTTCAAGGTGAAACAAGGGCAGGGCAGTCATGTGAAGCGTGACAATGTTGTGCAACAAAACAGTGAAGATGATGGCATTTGGTGGCTTGAGCCCTTAATATTGCCGATTTATTGCTTTGGACTAAACAATACCTTCATGGCATTTAACAGCAACAAGCCCAGTTCTCTCTTGCTGCATCCTGTTTGCTGTTACTTTGCCAGAATAGTGTAAGCCACACTGATGTCTATCACAGTAAGGCTTGGCATTGTTTTGGCTTTCTCAGCTTCCTGTCCTGAACTATCTAAGGTCATTACAGTCATTATCATTTCCACCAATTTGGAAGGAATGCCCCAGTCAGATCTTGCAATGCTAGCAGTGGTAGTGCAGCCTTAATTAAACAGAAGGGTAAAATATGTCACATGATCCCAGCTCCTTGAAGTCCATAAGAATGTTGAAGCTTCCAAAGCCTCTGAAAGGATAAAATCCAACTTAACTGTATATTTAAAATCTAGGGGGGAAAAACAGGTGCAGTATACTTGTGCTCGAATATAATATGCTTTACTAAACACAGTTGAACCTCTTGCTCCATTATTAATTTCTTAGTATCCATTTTTATATTTTGCACATTATATTAGCAAAGTCCCATCAGAGATAAGGAGATTAGAGAGTTTAGAACCATGCTAGTATATCTGTGAGCAGTACTCACGCACTGTCGTGTTTTAGGCTTAAACAGTATGTTCCAAGGTCATTTTGATGGTACACTGACTTGTAATTGCGAGAATGCCATCTCTGTCATTGCCAATCGGAGCCTGGAGTGCCTGGTATTGCACAGTGTTAGCACTGGAATCCCGGACAGGAAACCTATCGCGAGAACGTTGTAATGCTTTACCGCACCACGTCACACTCTTCAGCAAGCTACCTATAAAAAGAAGCAAGCTCGGCATTCTCAGAATGGATATCATTGGCTGCGTAGAGACTGAAGAAGACGTTGTCGGAGGAAGAGAAACAGAGAGTGACCGAGCAAGAGATCGGACAATATTAAATATCGGACTGGCTTTTTCTTGATGGCGTGAGCTAAAAGAAAGAATGCAAGACAAATGCCGAGCTGGCCTTATTAGCTGGCTTGCTGTGTCTTGTGTTGTGGCACTTGCTTGATGTTTGGCTGGGTTAGCAAAGTTGTCAACTTCGTACTTTTGATCATAAGTAATGTAATCAAAGTATAGCACGTGAATAGCTATCCTTATTCATGACAGAAGTGAAAAAAGGTCTTCACAATTCTTAAATTTGGCATTATGAAACTTGCAGATTTTCTGTATGTTGACTTGTAGTCATTTATAAACCAAACAAATATGACTCAGTTAAAAGTTATTTTGGCTTCTCCCTTTTTCATTAATCATCAGAATGTTTTCTGCAAGCTTTAAAAGCAGGTTCTGTTGAGTCCTGTTGTTCACTTACTTTACTTCCTTGAACCTCAAGTGTTGCTAAACACCCAACCTTTCATTGTAGAGCTTAACAAACCTCTTCTTACTTCACTGACAGACTTGTTTTATAGTACGACTGGGCATGTAATTGCAAATAGGGAGGCAGTGCAGCTCGGTGAATATTTACACTGTAGGTATTCAGCCATCCAGCATGACTCATGGCCATGAAACAATAGTATCTTTGTAGACTGTCGCTAAATCAGAGCACTCAAGCAAACCATATAAGCAACCCCTTTGCTGTGAAATTTAAGTCAAATTAAGGAAGCGGGCTGGATTAATCTTGACAAGTGCAATAAGGCCGCATTACAGCCGTAATCACATGTCGTTTATTGCAGTGAAATAGCTTCCTGCTTCAATTAAGCTCCAGTGCTGGGTGTAGGCCTGAATCCGTCTGACAGCAGAGTGAACCAGGGGGAAAGTAGGGTACAATATTCAGCGTTAAGGGATTTAGCAATTTGTTGTGTCCACAAAAACCTTTGGATTGCTAAACCTAAACCTGATCCAGGAATATTAAGGTCCATCACAACTTTGGTCTTATTTTATTATTTTATTGTTTCTATCAGTTATGATAGTATTGCACTCACTAAAGTAGTTGATGACAGGTTATATACAGAATCCTGAAGTAAAATTCAATACCTTTTATGAACTTGATATTGACCTTAACATATTACGTAAGACTGCCGAGCCACTTTGAGCTGTAACCGGTTAAGTCAGCCACACGCCATTTAAAAGGGGCATTGTGAAGTTTTTAAAATGAATTTAAATATATGTCTAAGATTTTATTGCCTATATGTGACCTCAAAAACTTTCTCAGTTGCCTACAGCAGCCTGTATAGGCCGACTGTTATCGGATTTCCAGGACTTATCGGATTTCCAGCGAAAATCCATTGTCGTACGTAGGCTATGACGTTTATGTGTGCAACATTACTGCAAATTATGTGAAACACAGTGTGATTTTGTGTTTAAGTTGGTTCAAACAAGATAATGTTAGCTTGTCGGCAAATGGTTATTACGACTTTCTGCCTGCTGTGGCTTCATTGGTTGCTTCATGCAGAAGCTGGCAGTTTGGGAGGGCTCCTTAGATAATGGGCTGACACCTGTCTCATTGTCTGTCTCTCTCTCCTAGGCTCCATATCTCCTGCTTTGGGTTTGTTAGCTGTCCTGAGTTGCTATCAACCTTCATTCATACATTTCTCACTCATCCATGCATACCACTCACCACTGCAAACAGATATGTTGTTAGTTTCTTTAGTTTAGTTTCTTTAATAATAAAACATCTTTTTGGCACTTTAATCTGCTTGGTCTCCCCCTTTTTGTCACATGCTATGAGCCGGGATGTGACACTTTCTGTAAACCATACAGTTTTTATTAAAGTCAATTTTTACTAAGATGTAGGGGCTCTAACCTGTGAAACAGTATGCAACATATTTAAAAATAGTTTTAATCTGTTTTATATTTTTTTTCTTTTGTCATCTTTGACATTGTGAATAAAAGATACCTTTTATTTTTTTTCCCTGTTCATGTACTGAACTGTATTACATTCCATTGATACTTGTTTCAACTTAAGTAAGAGTCCTAGTCCCAACCTAAATCTACTACTATTTTTGAATTTAATACTACTGATCTTAACCAAACTGAAAACTAATCATAATTCTAATCATTGCCCAAAACAAAATTTTATTCCAATACAAACTCCTTGAACAAGTATCTGCAACGTGTCCTTAGTCAGAAGGATTTTAACCTCCCTTTCTATTCTTGTAAGGACACGTGGTCCTGGTGGAAATACAATAACACACACACACACACACACAGGACGGGACTGGATGAAAGTTCACTGTGTGCCTCAGCGCCCCTCTGTTTTCCTGGAGTTAAAGGCAGACTTTAAACCTCGCGGGCCAACAAGGGGAACATCAAGGTTAGCAAATGCGACACAGATTAAGATACTGGGGAGAAAGAAAGAGGAGAGCATGGGAAAGGACAGGCACAACGTGGCGGGGTGAGAGGGGGGAGTGCTGTGTAGGGGGAGTGGAGGTTCTTTGATGCATGTATGAAAGGCTCCACTTCAAGAGGCAGTGACTTTTTGATTCGCAGTCCACTGACAAATGAAACAGAGAATATGAGGTGAAGATATCAAGTTCTTAAATGGGAGTAAAAGTTCAAAAATGGGATGCAAAAGTGATGTCAGGGAACCTCAGGGTAGATGAAAGTGTTCTGATTAGAGGTCTCTCCACTTAATGTTATCTCAATTACAATTACCATAAGCAAATCTATAGGAAAGGAAAAGTATAGTGGTGTCCTTACTAGAGACGGGTCCTCTGTCTCGGCCCCCAGGGACTGGCTGAAGTCCTCTGCACTGAGAGGAAGATTGTCTTCTTCTTCCTCCTCTTCCTGGTCAGGCTCCTCCCCCAGGGTAGGGAATACGGAGAGCCCACCCACTTCGGCATCCACCATGCCATCCAAACTGTCAGTCAGAGCGGCGAGTAGAGCCGCATTCTCCTCTTCTATCTGAAGAGAGCCAAACACAGTGAGAGCATTGGTGAGAATACAGTGGAAAACTTTTAAAAGAGAAGTCTATTGTTCAGAACATTTCTTAAGTTGCTGACAAAACAATCTCGCCACATGGTCTATTTTGCAGCCGTTGTAAAAGTTGAGATATTAAGTAAATAAATTAAGTTAATTCTTTGCCTTGCTAACTTTGCTAACTTTGCTAACTTTGAAGCCAACATGGACAAGAAATCCTTAAAGTGCTTTGACCATCTCCAATTTCATGACAACTCCACAAAACCTCAAGAGTTAACTTTCAGTTTAATGTGATATGGTTAGCTTTTGGGGAATTTTTTCCTGCCTTGTCAGCTTATATTTGAATTAGAGAATTCCTACATTTCCCAGAATTCAACAACACTTGAGGTAAGCAGCATTAATGTATTGCTTTCAGCTGCTGTTCAGACTATAGGAGGAAGAAATGCTGACAGTCACCTTTACTTATAACCTAAAATACCTACGGTCTATTTCCTCTGATTCCTCCCTGTATGATTGTTGAACGTCAGAGCTAAATAGCAGCTCTTGAAAGGATTCATGCTATCACTTTTAGAGATAATATTTTGATTGATGTAACACTATCTAATTTTGGCTAGAAGAAAATCAGCTAATTGGACCCCCAAAGCAAGATAAATCAATAATGTCCAGTTATATCAGTTATACCTGATACCTGTAAAATAACTGAAAATAACCACAACTGACAGATTTATACATGTAAACCACATTTATGTCTGGAAATGATTGTCCTCAGCAGATGAAAGTATTTTGGAAGCTCTGTGTCATTGCTAAATCACTCCTCGAATCCCCCTCTACTCCATCTTCCTCGTCCATTCACTGTAATCAGCTGTTATTGACAGTCTATTCTTTCTTATTTTCTAACTTATTAACGTGGTCAGGATGATGTAACTCTGACCCTTGACCTAATTAAAAAGAACAACACACAGGTTTCCATCTCATTTGATGTGATCTAGTTTGACTCACAACTATCTTGGATTCGGGTTTCCCACAATGGTTTACGTGCTTTTTCACAATTTTCAAGCATGAAAATGGTCAACTGTTAGATAATCAGCAGAAAATATTTATCTGTAATTTTGGTCCAAAATCCCTCCTGTCAGATCCACACATGGGTTGTTTACTTTTACAGAGTTGCCATCTTGCTGAGAGCAGAATCTGGTGGAGAGGTGATAGTATGACTGGCCTACGGGAAGCCACCAAGCTCCATTCATCTGTCTCTCTCTTTTTATCATCCGAGCTGTCCCGGCTGCCAAACTATTTATTATTACATTTATTCTCTGTCTCTCTGGCTTGCTGCCTGCCTCTCTGTCTCTTCCCAGGATGGTGCAATTTTACATTTTAAATTCTCATAACAGTCATAAGTCAGCAGCATCAACGGTAAAGTTTGTGGCAATATAAATGATGCTGTTCCTGATAGTGACAGTTGTCTTTGGGTTAATTCTGTTTCTTTTTTGCCCAGTTTACTCTCTTTCCAGTATAGTGCTACATCACCAGAGGCATGGGTTCGAATTTAACTACTGATACATTTGTAAAATAATTTAGCTAGCATTTTTGTAAATAAATGTTCATTTACTGTTCTTTCTATTTTACATGTTCTGTCTGGCCTAGACGCTAAATCATAATCAGAAAGGGTTTATTAGCATTACTACCATTCTGTTTGTACATTCAACAGCACTCACAGATATTAACTGATAATATAAATTTGATTAGAAGGATATTATTTAGATTTTCTGGATAGTTAGATTCCAAAATGAGTGGAAAAGAAACAGAGAGAAAGACAGTTACATCAATGACAGAAAGCAGCATAACGTATAATTTACTTTACAATAATAGATGCATATAGCATTATGATTAATATTAAAGTAATAATATATTATTAGCCTAACCTTTCTAACTCAAACCATTTCTCTCTTTATATTTTCCAAGGTTAAATGAAGCCCTACCACACACACACACAGATCAATCCCACCCCACATGGGATTAGATTCTGATACACTACTATAAATAAGCGGTGTATTGACGAACATCAGAGAGACAGTGACACAGGGGACTTCATCCATCTGCTTATCACTCAATTCATTACTGTTTGTTTATAAGCGAACACCGTCTGACAGTCTTCTCTGCTGTAGTAGTCTGATCAATACAATATTGGCAAAATATAATATACCGGGGCAGGGAATTTGCTAGGGGGTTGGTGGGTAGCAGCAGAGATTTGGAAAGCTGAGAAAAACATTTTTCTTAAACAGGTCTTTGCAGGTGATACAGGGGACGGTATAAAAAGTAAAACTGTATACAATCTCGAAAACATATTTAATTAATTATGAAAGTGAGCAGAAGAAGAGAAAGTTTAGAAAGAAAGCTAGGAAAGAGAAGCAGTCAGAATATCTGTATGTATTGTCAAAGAGAAAAAAGGGTTAAAGTCAGATAAAGACAATTAGAAACAAATGTGAACTTTCTAAAAAGTGAAAATAAAAAGACAGACCAAAAAATAGCTACACACAAGAAACAGTCTATGAAAAAGGAAAGTAGGGCACCATTGTCTTATGTGTTGCATCTTTCTTATAAAGGTTCTGATGTCAATACCAATATCTATTACTTTTAATGTAGTACTTTGAGTATGTCTACAAATGCCACCTGCGTCATAAAGTTGTGTGTTGACAGCCGGAAGATAAACAGTCAATCAGGCGTCGGGTAATGGTGATCAAAATAGGAATAAAAGCACATATACAGACAGTCACAGAGTACAGAGACAGTCTGTGTCTACTTCACCTGCATTCCCATCATGTCTTGCCTGTCTTCCTTTAACCAATACTCTGCTGAGCATTAGAGCAATTTCCACCAACAGAGTTGCATTACATAGCTGATGATCTGGACCTAAATGCTACTTTATCTCTTCGCTGCAGTCTTTTTATTCTTGAGATGCACTCAATTTAGCTTTTGTAATGGGACCAGAAGACATCACAGGGGCTGGAAACCTATAGACAATCAATGATGCAGGTTTTGATTTCAGATAGAGAAAAATACAAAGGGTGTTCCCTGAATTCATCCAGCAAGGTACGTGAAACTGGAGCCTCAGGGCTTTCACTGGCCCTGTAGAAGCATCGGGCCGATCCAAACTGCTTTCACCATCATGTTACACACAGTGTAACTGGGAATTACTTTCTTGGCAGCGCCCTCTGAGACATGCTGCATGTCCACATTTCAGAGTTTTGCATGTTGCAAAATCTGTTGAAGACCCACTGAAAAACACTTCCAAGAAGCAGTCAAGATTTCTATGGGTTATTATCAGAAATTAAAAAAGTTTGCGCAAAGCCCCCATCTCACCCATAACCTAAACACTATCTGAAAAACAAAAATCCCTTAGCACCTCCATGGGACTATGCTTTTTTACTCAGGGACACTGCACAACATTAAAGAAGACCTAGTGCTTTTCCACATTTTATGACTTTTCTACAATGTTATAATCTTGGATGTTTATGTTAAACATGGCCAAAGCTTCAAAAAATGAGGTTAAAGCATTTATAAGAAATCTCTGTGAGCAAAAACCTCAGGTTTCCTCCTGTTGTGAACGCTCTGTTTTGAACTGCTTTTTCTACCAACGGCTCTGTTCTACGAAACAGCAGACTTGCACAGGAGGCATGTGCGCCGCGTTATGGCTGCAAATCGCTGCCATTGTTGTCAATGCTTGTGCTCACACCCGAAGAATAGGCAGCCGGCCTATTCTTGACGGAAGACGCGTCGAGCAGCACCAAGCAGATGAGCCGAGCAGGAAGTCAGATACAGAAACGGCAATAAGAATCCAGTTGATTTTCAAAATAAAATACCTTGTACAGACTCCCGATCGTATATAAACAATAAACACAGTTAGAACAGACCAAAAAAGAAACAATTTAACTATGTAGCCTTTTTAACCACGGTAGAAGCACAAAAATCAAGGACAACTTACCAAATGAACTAAATCTAAACAATTCAGCAAAATCAGGCTGGCAAAACCTTCTTATTCTGAAATGCTCCATGTGGGAAATTCAGCCCTGCAAGGAACTGAGGGAAAATGGTTCACAGAGTGTTGTGATTGGTTGTAGACAGGGTGACCAGATGAGAATGGGTGAAATTTGGGACGGGGATGGAGACGGGAGGGGGTGTGGCCACCGGTACATTGAGTGTCAATGGACATTAACACATGTGAAAATCAAAACACAACGCTAAAATTAATCATTTTTTTTCATAAAGTCACCTGTCTGTCATTAGGAAAAACACAACTGTGGATATGTAAGTAAATCATGATCGTTTACCTAATTTTTAACCTAATCTAATCATCAGTGCAGTGTCTCTCCGCTGTTCCATGGCTGCCTGAAGCTACACTTTCCTTGTCCTTGCGACTGTAACTTCCACTAACCACAAGAAAACAAAAAGGGGAAAAGAGCACGAGTGTTACTTTGTGGCTATAACAATGCTGTTGACACAATGTACAGATAACCTGCAACCCCTGCTGGAGCAAGTGAACTACAATGATCAATATTTAATGTTTAATTAGGTTATAATCAAAACTCAACATGTTAGGTCCAATTTTTGGGACAAACCGGACTACAGTCGGGACAACTGCTTGTAATTCGGGACTGTCCCGGAGTCAACAACGTGGGGCAGGCTAAACGCTCTGTTGCTGAAACGCTTCCAATGTGAGTTGACGCCGGGCTGAGGACGGGTTAAAACCGTGGCGTAGCCGTAACGCGGCGCACACGCTGCCTGTGAGTCCAGGGTCAGTCTGCCTGTTCTGCCCAGCAACAACAAAAGCCTGGTAACATGCTTTGGCCAGACTTTGAGAGGAGGGGGGCCTTAAAGAGACAGGAGCATCTACAGCTTGTTCAGACAGAGGCTGAAATGAAGAATCAGTATAAATATGTGAATCATGCAAAGCGGCTATACAGGAGTCACAGAACTACAATATAGGACTGGAATAGCAGTATAATAGGTCTCCTTTAAATCCACAAACTATTCTAAAGTACATTCACTTTTGAAAGCTGTCCTCAAGATATTAAGCAATGGGTTTGTCCTTTTAAGGTGCCTTATATCATAGCTGAATCACTAATGTTGTGTTAAGGGTTCCAGCAGAATGTTTTTCCAAAATGTAATTGGATTTGAGAACTTTTCAGTTGAAGTGTGACTTCAGGGTGCCAACTTTGTGGATTAGCCTTAAACCTGAAGCAATCATGACTTTAATTTGTTGATGAAGGGGGTTATTTTCTTGCGCAATGGCTTGTTGGTGCCTTTAACTTTGTACTTGTACTGGTAACATCTTTTGCATCAATTTATTTAGTGAACCAGAAGCCTGTCCACCAAATTTCAATCAATCTACTGATAAATCTTATTTAAATCGATCTATTTATTTTTAATACCGAAGAGTCTCTGTATATATTTCTGATGCACCCATTACAGCAGAAGAGAGCAACATCAGTTGCACAGAATACCTGAACTCGTAAGCCTCACCTCAAAAAGCTCATCTGCTGTACGGTAGTTGATGGAGGCCGGGGAAGCGTCTGCCGGCTGATCGTTGCACCACTGTAGCTCGCTGAGACAGTTGACGCTGTCAAAGTCGCTGGTGTCCAGCTGGGAGAGGTCGATGTCCGGGAAGTCTGTGTCCAAGCGGTCCGAACACACCTCCTCCTCCCCATACTGATGATGGAAAAAGAGAGGGAGAGAGAGAAAAAGGTCATGTTAGTCAAACATCGAGATTAAAGCAAAACTCCCAGGGGTTTGTCTTTTTTGAGATGCAACAAAAGTGCATGAGTCACTTTGTAAAACATGAACCCAAAAAACTGGAAAGAGCCTCAGTGAGAAAAAAACAAGTTTGCAAGCGTCACCCGTGTCTGCAGCTCTGCTCTCTTATGCGATCACAAAGGAAATATCTGTGTAACCACTTCTCTCTGAGACACAAGCAACCAAACATGAGAAATAATTATTTTCCCTCTACGAGACTGCCATGGTTGGTGTTTTCTGTGAAGTTCATTGCTCAGCGCAGCACTGCCATTGTTAGAATTAGGGGTTTAGTTCCCATTGGACCACCCTTTCTAAAATATGTATGCAGTTGAAGTACTATGAGGCACTTTGGATAAAAGCCTCCATCATCTGGCATATACTGCATATTATTACACTGTTCACTGTCGGAGTCACAAGGAGCTCTCATCAACAACCCCTCATCACTCAACAGCTACTCATTATGCATAATGAGACTTTCATGTTAGCGGAGGTTTGAAACTGAAACCAATAGAGGCGTGTGCACCAGCACAACACAGGATTAGATGTGTTAATGTGTCACGTACACCAGAAGCACCTATCCGGAAGTCTGCATTCATTTATCCTGCACATTTCCCTGTAGCTCACAACAAAGTGCAACTGCGACCAAAGTGTGTTTATCAGTGAAATGAGCTGCTCTGTGTAGTTTGTTTAATATGTGGTCTTGGTAGCACATTGTTGATCACGTCAGGAAAATCTCCTGAAACTGTATTTAGTTTCTGTATAAGAATTTGCTCTGTGCACATAAAATGTAAGAGACAATCCAATGAACAACTCTAAAGAATGACCAAATGAGTGAGCCCTTAAAAGGTGTCCCTCAAGGGACCCTATAGCCACCTTAAGACACCCCTTCAGCAATCCAGCAAATGCTCTCAAAAACACATGGAAACCTCTTACAAACTCCTGGAACACCCTGAAGAACTCTTCAAACAACCTGAAACACTGGTAAGAGACCCGTGATTATTTTACAGATCTACTAAAATAACGTTCCAGTCAGAAGTTAACTGCCACGTGGTCTGCAGCCACAACACATGGTGGCTGAGAGTCAGACAGAAACACGGAGCTATGTCATTGAGAGAACAGAAAAAAAGAAGAGCAGGAAGTGTGTGTACGTGACTCAGTGTGAAGGGAAGTAACTGCCGTCTCTTGGGGGAGGCGACAGAGGGAGGAGGGAGGATTCTGTGGAAGGAGGAAAGTATAGTATAGTAGTAGCGTTGAGACAGGAGAATAGAGCGGGCATGTGGGGAAAGAAGGCAGTCAAACTGGATTTTTACAAGAACTGCATACTTGTTGAATATATCTGTGTGTGTGTGTGTGTGTGTGTGAGTGCACGTTTCCACCGCAGAGCAAGAGATCAATGTCCTATTGTACATATGAGGAGGAAGCATGCTCTGTTACAAGTTGTTCTCACTCACTCACTTAAATCATCATCATCTCACTGAGTAAGCAGACAGGGTCGACCAGTTAGACCAATCATCTTTCTAACTGAATGAAACCAATGGTTTTTAAACTATCAGATTTCCTCTGAGGTTATTTAATCTTGAACTGACTGGCTAAACTGCACATTGCCTCCTTGTTGTCTTTGAACCCTGCGAGTAAATGTTCTGTCTAGGGTTGCCAACTGTCCCGTATTACCCAGGATGTCCCTTATATTAGGCCTAATTGAGTTGTCCCATACGTGACCTGCCTTGTCCCATTTTTTGACTAACTGATACAACAGCAACAGTGCCGATCACGACATTTGACAATGGTCACCGACACCTGTCATCATCCAATCAGTGTCCGTGAGATATTTTTCTGTGTCTGATGGAATTCGGTGCAAGTTACTTGACTTTTATGAAGACAGTGATGAAACTGCAAATGTTATTCATCAATTTCTGATGAACTGCCTGAAAAAGCATGAACTGGAAATAAAACACATCACAAGTGTTTAATAGTAAAGGTACAGCATACACTTTGTTTGTCATATGTACATGAAGGGGATACCCTTTTCTAACCTACAGAGTCACAATTGTTTTGTATTAGACAAATAGAGTAAAGGTAACAGGTAGTGGTACAATGAAAGGACTGTTTTAAAGGTACCTGCTATATATAAACTATTATTAATCCTACCAAATATTTAATTAAGAGATTAGCTATCATTATGACAAATTGCTTAAAATAATACACCGTATATTCACGCAAAAACCATACCTGCACTGCTGAAGCAGGCCACTTCTTGTCCCTTATTTCATAGTGACAAAGTTGGCAACAATAGTGTTGATGAGAATATAACACAAGTGGTATTGGTAATTTATATCAACCCTTCACAGTGAATAAAAATTGATATGACAGGTTTAACCTTGACTCTACCGGAAAGCTTAATTATATGATAAAATGAATGGCTTACATAGTCCCTCGGTTGATTCCTTTAAGTTTATTCTATGATTGTTTTAAGGTAGCCACTGAACTGGTCCAAATCAGTCAGTTATGTCTGGAAATGTGTTAAAATTAAATAAAACTTTGCAGTTGTACTGGCATAGCCTAGTCAGTTAACAAATACTGTTGCTCGCCTAACTGTCAAAAGCTCATTTAACACAACTGAATAGTTTACTTGGTCTACTGTCCAACACCTAAGCAGGACATTTGAGTTTTACGTCACATTGGATCACGGCTGTCCAACAGGAAGATCTGCCGCAACAGCTAGCTAGGCCAGTCAAAGCTCAGTATGATTAATAATTAACAAAACCAGGGTTTAAGTTACTTTTAATAGTCAACATGTAAATATGACTAATCACCATATTTTCCTCATTTTGTTCAATCTATTTCATCTAAAGTTGGATCAGCAGGAGATAGCAGTTTGATGATCTATAAATGAACTTTACTAATAATTCACTAATTTGCTCCGCCATAGTCTCAAAATGAGCCAAAAATATTTTCACACGTTTCAAACCTCTAACGTTGTGTTTCGTGGGCGCTGGCACGCTCACACACTTCCAACCCCTACAGTGTATGCTTCCGACTCGAGACAACCACTTTTTGAGGTAACTACGGTAACGTTAACGGTCTCTTTCTGTCACTCGTTTGTGAGCTTTGTGAGAAGGCGATTAAGTTAGCCGCGCCTAAATTAGGAGTGCACGCGTATTCAAGCTTTTATGGTAAATTCACTGAAACGGACCAGAGCGAGCTGACAGGCAGGTTAGTGACTTCATCCTGTCAGTTTGTCTCTTTACAAAGACAAGTGTTGCAGTATGAGAGTCCCACCTGAAGAGAGGCTGTGAAGTCTTTATGTTACGCCATACGAGAACCACATACAACATTATTTATCAAATTGGGTCGGACTTGATGAATTTAGTGCGAGGATACATATGTGACAACGTCCGGTTGTCAGAATAAGGTGTCTATCCAGTATGGAAAAATATAAAAGGGATTATATCATATTCACAGAAAGTATAAAACATATTAAGCATGTCCATTAAAAGTAATAAAAAAACAACAACAATAAAATGTTAGGATTTTCTATTCTTTGATTTAGGTTTGCTGGAAAAACCTTAAATAGGCTACATTTGTTGACTTTTGTTGCTGTTTCATCACCATTTATAGCTATACAATGGGTTTATGATCATCGCTCGCCTTTTTGTGACTTTGCCACTGTGTATTTTAAATTTGAATGTATTGAATTACAGCTTCCTTAATTTCTTTAATTTTAGAAATTCTTTTCTCATCATTACAACATATGAATGTACCTGTCAATGTCTATGACAATAATAATTCCATTACTTAATAATTTTAATAAATTAATAAATTTCATATAAACAGTACCTATCTTATATAACCATTTTTATAGCAATTCATAATCACCACTTATGTCTGCAGAGCTTTTGCCTTAAAATCTTTTCTGCTCTACACACTTCAGCATGCAAATCTACACATACACAAACACACACTGTTCATTTCATGTTCAAATATAAGGATAATGATGCCATTTCCCAACATCCAGAAAACCACATCCAGCTTTAGTTTTTTAATCAGATCCAATATCATGTTGTATTAATGATCACTGCTAGTAATGCTTTGATGTATGACCTCATACAACTCCAAGTACAGCTGTTCCCACTCTGCCTTGCAGTGTGTTTATGTGTTAGTTTATTTGGTCGGTGTGAGGAGTATTTTTAGGGTCGAGGAATGGATAACAGGAGCTGATATCATTAATGGTTTCATAAATTAGTGAGCAAAATTATACAGTAGACCAGAGCGGACATGATCAAAGAGACAATCGGCAAATTGGAGAGAAAAAGAGAAAACGGAGGGATGGAAGAAGATGAGCGTAAATGGGAGAAGGTGAAAAGAAATTTACAGGCAGGAGGAGAAGGAGCTGCATTGAGTGAAGTAAAGAAGAGAGGAAAAAGGGGAGGGAGAAAAAAAAAGAGAGATGTGGGTCAGAAGAGAGAATTATAAGAGAGGCAATTGAGAGAAAGAGGGGGACGGCTGTCGTGACTATAGAGAAGAAGAAGAAGGAAAGGAGAGAGGATGTCCTCTATATGACCCTCCCATTGCTTCCTCTCCCTCCAGTTGCTGGTACAGGTGTGTGTTTTCATCTAGCGTGTGTGTATGTTAGTCAGCTCACATCCCTCTCACGTGCGCCTGACTCATCCCCCCCTCTTTCATCTCGTTCTCTTCTTCTTACCTCACTTCCTTCCTTTACTTTCCCTTCTTGAACCACTCTCCCCTTTCCTTCCACCAGCATCCTTTTCTCCCATCTGCTCTCTTTCCTCTCCATCCATCCATCATCCCAGCTCTTTTCTCCCCCTTTTAGTCTTTTATCCTCTCGCATTCCCTTTCCTCTTTCTCACTTTTCTTCAACCCCCTCTCGTATTCTTCTGCTGTTTCCTCCTCTCCTC